CCTGGGGCCAAGTTGATTCATTTGGGGAAAAAAATCTTCAATACTACTTTGAAACATATAAAATAATAATGTACTAAAATCCAGGTTCCTCGATCCCAAAAACTGTTTTTTGTTCCATCACAAGTTTTCTACCAATGTATTTTTGACTCTGTCACAATCAGCTTTCAGTCTGTAAATGTATGTAAAAGCCAAAATCGTATACTCGTGACAGAGGTCAAAAATACATGTGTGAGAAAACTTGTGATGGAACAAAAAACAGTTTTGGGAGCGAGGAACCATGGATTTTAGTACATAGTTATTTTTTATGGTTTCAAAGTTAGGTAGGTTGAAGATTTTTTTCCCCAAAGTGAACCAGACTTGGCCCAGTTAACATACTACCGACTACTTTTCCACAAAAATGGGTACTGAAGCTAATTGCCATTTTTCACTCAAATCAGGCTGGATTCTTGGCTCCAGTTCGGACCAGGACCAGAAATGAGAACTGGTTCTGGAGAAATACTAAACATAAATGTGATAGTTCAACCTAAGCTCTTAAAAAAAACCTTTAATATTCAAGCAATGTATTTTTTTCTTTTTGGGATTTCCTGAGATGTAGGATCCTAATAACACAATAGTTTTTTTTTTTCTTTGAACAGCTACTTCATTTTTATTTTTATTGCAGGCTTTTACCAAATTGTTGAAATGATGGTAAAAGTGCCTAAAACCAAGTGAGATGCCCCAAAGAGGTATTATATCAGTTCCAAGTAGAGACAGTCAAAAAGTGATCCACTTTGGTTGGTTGAGGATGGCAATAAAGGGTTAATGGTGGGTAATTAAGAGGGTAGAAAAAAAGTTGGCGTCCTGTACCTAACGTTCTAACTATGTAATGAGTTTCTATCACTATTTCTCACATGTCTTTGGCCTCTGTCACCTCTGGGTTCTTGTAGATTGACTTTCATATATATTTTGTCTTTTATCTGGACTCCTGCAGGGTGTAAATAATTCATTGAAATACTGGAACTTGGAGAGATGTATTCTTTCCAATACTTTCCGAGTCTTTTTCTTTGGGGCTTTTTCTCAGCTGCTCCCGTTGTGGCTGCTCTTCATCTGCTCTTGGATCCTCACCAGCACCTCCTGCATCTTCCTCAGCTGAGACACACAGAAACGTGGGTTAAATCGCTTCAGCAGAGAAAATCCAAATAAAGAGAGTACACACCTCTTCATCTTTCTCAAATATCAGTCTCTCCGTCTCAGGGTCGATGCCCAAAGGAAGAGGGAGCTCTGCCAGGCTTCCCTCTCGATGTTTCTCTCGTAAACTATAGACATGACAAAGTAAAGTTAAAGTAGCCGAGTCATCATTAAAGGGCCCTAATCTGTCAAAAGGCATTAATAAAACATGCTCTTTTCTAATACTTCTTTAACTGATAACAGTAGTTCAGAGATATTTGGATTTTAAATGAGTTTTACAGCCCTTAAATCTTGTTATTGTTTTCATTTCAATGCCTCGCCCTCCACCAATCGGTTTTACATATCAGAAAGTCCGTGATCCAGGTTTCCAGAACTCCCCGCATTGAGCTAATCTCACTGGTAAAGTACCATGTGGCTGCAGTACCAAAAAAGGTCTCGTTATGATTCTCAAATCATGAATGACAAAACAAGGAATAAAAAAAGAATTTATATCTTCGTGAAAAAGTTGTTGGTTATAGATTTGTTGTTGACAAAAGTCTTGTCTATTCAGATTATGGTCCCTTGATTCATCTGCATATCTGGCAACCTGAGTCAGGGAGAGTGGGAGTAGTTGCAGTACCACTTTTGGCCAGATTTGTAAATATTGCTCCTATAAATATAAACTCAATGAAGGCGTAAAGCTGAACTTTTGTAGATTGTCACATGATAACTATGTGAACATGGCCCCTCCTGCTGTAAAAATCACCAATCATTCATAAAAGCGGAGACTTTTGAGTGACCATTCTGAATAAAAATCTAGATCTGACTCTCATTTAGAAATGTTACACAGAATATCCAAGAGTTTCCAGAGAATAAGAATTATGAAAACGCAAAAAGACCATTTGGTGCTGCTCCCGAACCGGTCTGACCACTCTAGTCCTACATCATGTACTCACAGCCTGTTTTATCAGATTGGCCAGCTTGATCCTTAAGACATTAACAAAGGCAACTTGCAACTTCGCCTTAGCATTTGAAACAGTACCTGAACCCTGACCCCTGGTACCTGCGCTGTCTCTCGTGCACCACCAGGCGGGTCATGCTCTGGATGCACTGAGCTCTGTAGTTCTCGTAGTGCGACTCCCGCGTCACGTCCTTCAGGTCCTGCATGTGGCTGCGAACCAACATGTTCCTCAGCAGCAGGAAGTCTGAGTGCACTGGGTTCTCCACTGACACACACACACACACACAGAAACATTCACATTACAAGCGTGCTTAAAATGTAAGACAGGCTTCTACTGTAACAATGCTCAAATCCAAGTTAAAACTGTGTTGTTGTTATTGTCTTAGCCTGGCCTTAGCCGTCCTTTATCTCCGGTCGATTATTATTTCCTACATGTACGTCTGGATGTGATCCTAGTGGCTCCAGTTTCTTCTGTTGACTCCCCTCCGACCAATCAGCGAGCGGGGGAGGCGGGTGTTGTAGGTCGATGTCGGTGACGTCAAGAGTTTGCACAAAATTTGCTGGTTGTAGTTTGGTGGTGAATGCGATAGTAAAGTAATCCGTTCTGGTTCGGCTCCAACTATCAAAACATTTAAGCCGGAGTAAGAGGAATGTTTAGCAAATGTCATTGCTGCAAAGATGTTGTGACTCAAATCCCCCATGGGCTCCGTAAGTGGCAAAGGAGTGGCAAAAGCTAGGCTAAATGCTAAATGCCTCACTCACTCGGGCGCATTACATACAGTATGTCAAGGCAAATTCAGATCCTATTTCAATCTGCAAAAGAAGTTAACCCCTCCCACCTGTTAACCTGTCAATGGAGCAAATCCAGACCTCAGAACAAAATGACATTTTACGATGGTGTGGTACGACCGGGCTAACAAAATGATCCATGTCTCAAAAACAGAGCGGAGTTGACACAGGTGTAAAAACGAGGGTACCTTCCACCACTCCCCAGGGATACTGTCGCCCTCTGACTCTCCGGCCGTTACTTTCCACTTGGATGTTGCTCCCGATGATCGCAAACGGGATGCTGTCCTGAAGAAAAGGGAGGGAAAACACATATATTTTTAGTTTAAGTTTTTAAATAATAACAATAATAAAAAATAATATATATTTATTTGTATAGAACTTTTGAAAAGCAATGTCCAGTGTAGCACAGTCAGCATAAAACAATAAAAGTCAAAAGAAGTAACAATTTAGTCTCAAATAAAAGTTTAAAAGAGAAAATCATGTATGTAACAACGTACCTATTACTTTATCATTATTAGCAACATACTGCATCTAGCCATTGGACTATAATGAGTTTTTAAATCTATATTTTAGCCCGTGATTTCAGTAAATCCAAACGTAATTTCACAAAACTATGAATATAAATAATATATTAGTTGTTGAACCTTGAGGATTTGGTCTTGTCTTTTCAAGTCGTCCTCTTCATCAGAATCGTACTCCAGAAACTGGTAAATGCTGACGCCGAAGTGTTTGAGCTCCTCTCGGATCTGAAACATGAGCGAGACACACAGAGTCACATCAGTTGGTCACTTTCATCTACAGTGCACATATAAGACACATTACATTTGTTTAGGATGTTTGTTATGGTTACCTTCATCTTCTTCTTGTGCCTCTCTGCTGCTGTGAGGCAGTCGGCTTTGGCCAGAATGGGGATAATATTCACTTTCTCATGTAGAGCTTTGAGGCACTGGACATCAATGGGACGAAGCCTGAGGGAACACAACACTACACTTTATACTTTAAACTACTGGAACTCCCAGAGCCGTCATTTTGATTGCTCCCATTCATAATAATGGTATTCTGAAAACAAAAAAATCTACCAGTTTTAATCAAAAGTAAGTCATTCATAAGGTTTTTCACTTCACTCACTTTTAATAAGTGCTAAAAATTGTTCATGAAACTTGAAATACAGCAAAAAACAATACCTTGAAAACCTAAAAGCTAACTAGCATTTAGCACGTCCAGGGAACAGTGTGTTGTCATAGTAACTATGGCATAAGATAGCACTAGCACTGGCTTTTCTCAGTACCTTTGCCAGAAAATGTGTTTTGCCAAAATTATTATCCAACAGTGGGAAGAGAACTCGGACCAGTCTAGGACCAGTCTAGGACCAGTCTAGGACCAGTCCAGGACCAGTCCAGGACCAGCACCTTGAGAAAAGCAGTTTTAACTTAACGCAGAATGCAAGATCCATGTATCTACCCGTGTCCGTAGGGTGAGATGAAGTACAAGCAGCAGTGAACCCTGTGGTCCTGAATGTTCCTCCGGTTCAGTCCGCTCTCGTCTCTGAAGTACTGCTCAAACTGCTGGTCTATGTACTCTTCCAGATGCTTCCAACTGATCACAAATACAAACAATCATATTAGATTATTTTAGTCTTTAAATGTATTATTAGCCGTCCTTGTACCTTTCTGTGTTGTCGACTGCATCTCCAAACCCCGGAGTGTCCACTATGGTCAGTCTTAACTTGACGCCTTTCTCTTCTATGCTGACCGTGTGTTTGACAATATCCACTGTTTGACTGATGCGCTCTGCAAAAACAGACAAAGCAATTATTACAAAAACCTATGGGTGCCCATTTCCTTAGACACCGAGGGACACAGGTTGGTGTGTCAAAACGACTTAGCATTTAACCCGCCTTGTGATCTAGTCTTTTGTCGACCGCCCTGGTTTCGGATGACGGCGTGGAAGGTTACTTTACTACCCTATCTACACTAAAGACCAAAAGTTTGGACACACTTTCTCATTCACTGAGTTTTCTTTATTTTCATGAATATTGAATGTAGATCCACACCAGGCTGTGAAAGGGCTGTTTGACCAATAAGGAGAGTGATGGTGCTGGACCAGATGACCCGGCCTCCACAGTCACCGGACCTGAACCCAGTCCAGATGGTTTTGGGGTGAGCTGGACCACAGAGTGAAGGGGCCAACAAGTGCTAAGCATCTCTGGGAACTCCTTCAAGACTGTTGAAAACCATTTCAGGTTACTACCTCTTGAAGAGGTATTGAGTATATTCAAGAGAATACCAAGAGTGTGTGAAGCAGTAATCAGAGCAAAAGGTGGCTACTTTGAAGAACCGAGAATATCTCAATAATAGAAGACACATTTTCAGCTGTTTCATACTTTCTTTTTTAGTAGGTACCTAATTCCACATGAGTTAATTCATAGTTTTGATGCCTTCAGTGTGAATCTACAATTTTGAATAAAAAAGGTGTGTCCAAACTTTTTGTATGTCTAGACTTTAGCTAAGTCTCCAATGCCTCATAGGGATGTCCCCGAATACATTCCAATGCATGTAAGACGCTAAAAAATATGGTAGCAGATACTACACTGTTTTATACCCTGCAGCTTCACACATGGTACAGGAGAATAAGGTTATAAAACACAAGTCACACAAGGGAGATTACTTTGCATTATTACAGCGGAAGAAGCCACTAAGCAAGAGTGAAGCTCTTACCGTCAAAAGTTTGGGCTTTTGCACTCGCAAACCCTTTCCTTTCTAACATTTTCCTTGTGAGAAAATAGGTTTGAAAGTGTATATACCACTCCGTGTGGATGATTATCTTAGCTGTAGTCAATTATAATGCAATTTCCTGGCTGTACTGTGTGCTTAGACAACTTATTTTGATAATCCAGTTCTGTCTTCCCCAGGTCTAAAGCCTAGCGTACATCGACAGAGAAACTGAGGACAACTAGTTGCAAGGCGGCTTTTGGCAACTGAGAGGAGATGGTGGGAGATGATCAGTTGCCGAAATCGGTCGATGTGCGCGCTCTTACAACTGGAGATGATCAGTCGGTCTCCAGTTCCAGTCAGTTGCCCGTGTTCTACTTTTCGGCAACTAGTTGTCCTCAGTTGCCCCGATGTGCACGCTCCATGCGCCGCTCCAACAACGTGTGTGTATTGCGTGTATTGCGAGCCTGCAACAGTTTGTTGTCAGAAAACACACTGTAGTTGAGGCCAGTTGCTGTCGATGTACGCGCTGTTATTCAAGAGACTGGCCTGCGACTCAGAGTTGCCCGTTTTCGCCAGATTGTCGATGTGTGCGGGGCAGCAACTCAGAGGCGACGGATATAATCAGTTGCCAGTCCGATGTACGCTAGGCTTAAAGAACTCGCCAAAGCTTTCCTACTGTTGTTTTCACGAAAAAAGCACATTGACTTTTATAAGCACAAAAAATCTTCTCATAGATCTTCTTACCTTCTGCATTCTGGACTTTTCTGTCTTTGTACAAATCTGTGAGGAACAAGCTGTTGACGAGGGTGGATTTACCGAGACCAGACTCCCCTGAGGACACAATGGTTCAACTATATTATTATTATTACAGAATACAGCACTATTGTTCCACTTCACTACACTGCTTTAGGCTGAGCTCGTGCACTCACCAGCCACCATGACAGTGAAGGTAAAGCCCTTTTTCACTGTTTTCCTGTGGACCTGGTTTGGAAGAGTCGCAAAACCCACATACTCTTTGTCTTGATCCTGAAAAGAGAAATACTTTAAAACCCTACTGTTATAGACCAAGTGAAAACCTATTATGGTCTAGTTCACCGATTTAGATAAACAGCACAGAAATGAAATGAAGGACCTTTTTTTAGTGATTTCAAATGTGTTTGGCAAAGAAAGAGGTTCTTTCTGATTTAGAAACAAATGTAAAGAGATAAAGCCAACATTAGAAGTATCATCTGGAGTTATGTGTTTATCAAGTAGTATTATCAAGTACATACTACTTGATAAACACATAACTCCAGATGTCCTTTATAATTGTAGAACTGTCAGACACAGACCAGTTCAGGGCAAGACAGAGCCCAGATTGTTGTATCTTCATTATTGATGGATTGTGCCATGATAGATTTATAATGTATACAATACTTTATTTCTACTTTTCTGCCCAGAACGAGCAAATCAAAGCATGTCTGTCAATAATACTTGAAAATTATTGATAATGTGAAATTTAAATTAACACTATTATGAAAAAATCACTTGGCTAAATGCTAAACTTTGACAGGCTGTGAGAAATCATGACAATTTGATCATCGACCATGTGCCTTATGAAACAGTTTGGGGAATTTCTCCGTCAAATCACGATGTTTACAACTGTTTAGTCTTTCGTTGGCCAATGGCATCTTAGACTTAAATGTAAATATATAGGGTGTGATTACCCACCTCTACCACCAGATGGATGTGTTTTACAACTCACATCCTTTCTTATATGGCATATGATAAATACATGAAGGCCCAAAATGAACACAAATGATGCACAGTATTTCTATAGCTCAATTGCAAAAACAGACAAGTAATACATAATATTTGAAAGGTTGACAGTTCTGCTCTTTACTTAGTAGTATTTTAAAAAGGCAGATTCATTTTAGTGCTAAACACATACAGTCTCAACCATTGACCACATTCTCTCACATTTACTGCCAAAAGCATTTTTAAGATTGTACTCAGAGAAAATCAACTTTTTGACACATTTTCAAAATATAGATATCTGCTTTTGTAAATAAGCTCTTCATTTCTCCTTTAATCTCATGGTACTACAGTTATAATAGGAATTAAGTAACGCAATTACTTTGTTTGAAACATTTGCATAAAGAAACTATAAACAATAAACAGGATTTTAAAAACAACCATGAAACTCCCTCATCCACTCTCTCATACCAATAATCATGAAAAGCCATAATCATAAAGAAAACAATGGTCTAAACGTATAAATTGTATCGAATCCAAACCTCTGGCGAGTCGTAGGGGTCAAAGCGTCCCCAGGGGCTCTGCGGCCGTGAGGAGGGGCTGAGGGGCGAGTCCAGGGACCCCACAGACACCAACTGCCTCCTAAGAGCCGGGCTGAAGTCTGCGCTGGAGCCCGACCTGCCGGGTCTGTGCGGGACCACCGGAGACCCAGGCTGGCTGAGGGGAGTGGGCCGGGGCAGACTGCAGGTCCTGGGCTGGCTGCTGTTGGTCACCTCGGCCCCAGAGTTAATGACTGAGGCGGGGTGAGAGAGGAGTGAGTGGTCAGAGAAGCTGCAGGGGGGCAGGTCCCTCATGGCGAAAGGACACTGGGAGTCGTCTGTGTTTGAAATGGACAAACTGGCCAACTGTGACACAGAGGGAGGCGGAGAGAGATGTTACTTTTAGAACATTTAAATACAACGCATTTGATTTTGTAGAGTTTAAAATTACAATAGCTTTTATCTCAAATTGTTGACCCTAACCCCCACCTCCAGCTTTGGCTCAATCCAAACACTCATTTTGCTCAGAATAAATACCCAAAAATCACTTCGAAACTCATATTATATGAAAGTCATAATCTTATCAGAATGCCAATCATAATGTAAATACATATTTGTTTTCTCCACAAAGAAAAACACATTTATTGTTTTGGCCCCCGACCACAATGAGCTTGACACTGCAGTTATAGATCTGAGTTTCAATTAGATATGATTCAATACTTTATGTTTCTAGATATTTCAATACATTGGTTATTGGCTTATTATGGATTTTGTCATCCACCCGAGGAACACAAAGGAATACAGTCTAAAACAGTCATTTTAAGCCTAGAAAGTAACATTTTGCAGAGTAGAAATTTGGGTCAACAGGTAATCCATGGAGAAAGTGGGGGAAAAATGTAAAATGAAATTGGGGACTGTAAAATTATCATTGAAATCAAACAGTGAATCAGTTTTGAGTTTTTCTAAGTTTCTAATAACACCAGTCCAATGGAACTTATTGAACGCTTTAATGATCTTGCACTTGTCGATCAATTTCACAGTATCAATTGTTTAACCTTGTTTTAAATATGTACTTGTCTGGTGCATTCTGAGGGACTCTTGCAAATGTATTCCAATGTGGTTTTACTGCAAATGGCAAATACACTGAACCTGAGTCTTGTATTGATCCAACACACAACATATGAGTTAAGCTTATGTGAAGACAACAGGAAGGATCAAGGAGGGGAAAGAAAGAGGCTCAACCCACTGTAATCTAACGAGTCCTGGTTAATCCGGCGACACTATACGCTCCCAGGCCCGAGGTGGACGCAAGTGGAACCAATGAAATAATGACCATTGCTCAAAACGTTTCAGAGAGAGACGTGGATCATCAAATCTCAAGTAATAATGTTTTTTCCCCTTTGGTTACTTCAGTTATAGTGTGATATTTGACATTTCCTCTACATTACCCAACTCTATAAGGATCTTAGGTAAACCTTGACATATTCAATTTTGATGAAATTTATTTTTGTATAGAGCTACATCACAACTGCAGTCGTCTTGCAGGACTCTTATAGTTGTTGATTCTCACATGACAGATTAGAGAATCAAACAGTATTAACACAGGACAAGCAACAATGACGAACACATATATGCGGAACTATTGGTGCAGAGGGAGCGGGGTGATCAATGTTGATAAATGTTCTTAAATTGTCATACATTGGCAAGGAATAACTCGAAAAAACTGCAGTGAGGAGGGTCATATTGAGGGATGGATTCGCCTTTACAGACAAGACAGGCTAGATCCATGAATCAGACTGGAGAATGAGTGCTGAGGCTGAAGATCCAGGACTGAGGTTGAGACCAGTTCCCAAATGCAGCTAAACGTTTGCACATGTACAGTATATAGACAAATAAGTGAAATATTCTATAGTTTTCTAAGTGGTTTTAATGTCAAATGTACAACTGTAGACGGTAATATGGACGGTAAGATAAGAATTCCTTTATTCGTCCCACAGTGGGGAAATTTCGATGTTGCATCGCACATATAGGACAGTATAAGAGCACACAGGGATCACACACAATATATACACTATATACAAATAAGTAGTAGTTATGTTTCTTAACTAACATAACTAGCTGTAGATGCTGAAAATGCTTCAATACCAGTCAATATATATATATATATATGTAGTAGTGCAGTTATATACTGTACAGTTAAATAGTGCAGGATAAAAAGTATATAAGTAAAGTGACATGAGGTAAAGTGACATTGTTCTGTGACATTCTGAAGTTGCAGTATTGCACATTGCACATGATTTAAGAATTGACTTAATTACAGATGAAACATAACATGGACGGACATGAATGTCCTTTCTGAAGAGATTAAAACTACAGGCTACAAACTATCTGCACTGAAATTAGCCAATTAGTTTGTTGTTGTATTTGACTTTCAATGATCAGGGCTCAGAGGTGATCTTGTTACTTCTCCCAGACGTATCTTTAACTGAGATTGAGTACGGCCAAAATCATTCACAGACAAATAGTATTTTATTTTTCTTGAATAACATAAAAAAATAAACGTCTAGTACCCCAGCTTTAGGAGCAATACAATTCTTTGTGGTTGACAAAGTTTATTACACAGTTATACGCAGATACCGGAAGTCACTAAATTCACCTGTTAATGCCTCGGAAAGCTTTCACAAAACACAAAGATTATTACGCCATGTTTTAAATGCACTTTGCTGAACGCATTTATTGACCTGATCCGTTGCACTGGTGTTCCCTCCATCTGTCCATGCTCTATTTACCCACAAGGCTTTGCTGCAGGCTTAACCCAGACGTCTCTAATGCTGTATATAGTGGGGGTGGGAGCGTAACAAGTAAAACTAACAAATAAAGCACATGTATAGAGATGTTATAAAGTGTTAAAAAACAAAACAAAAGTGAAAACGTGTCCTACCTCCTTTTCTGAGAGAGTGGCAGCTTGTCAGAGAGAAAAATACAAATATATATATACATAAAACAGTAAAATCTACTGGAGCTTTGGGGGCAAAAGTGAATTCAAAGAAAGCATTCAAAGCATGTCTATTTATGTGATGTATAGTTATATATTTTTCCTATCCCACGTGTGTTTGTGTCTGTATTTCTAGTTAAAACCACGCTTACCTTTCTTGTTTCTGAAGCGCACGGGAGACGACATGTGCTCCATGATGTCTCTCACAATCAGACCGAGGCCAAGCGCGAAGAACAGGCTGTCAAACACTCTGAGGAGGTAGAAAAGCATGAAAAACAGGTTCAGACTCAGGGTGACGGCGGCCGCAGAGAGAGAGACGCCCGCTGCTGGTGTCCGTGTGGGACGCGCGCCTGCTCCGAGCGTGTGCACGTACAGAGCAGAGCCAGGAGAGGGCGCTGTTGCATGGATTAGTTATTACAGGACCACAGGGCACCGTGGTAGACTGATATCTGTTACTTTTTTTTTTGAGTTCTTCCTTGCCGACGCATAAGGGTCTGAGGACAGGGAGGATCCTAGACATTTGGGGACATTTTTAACATTTATATTGGTCAAAAGATAAGATATGAAATGATAAGATACTCCTTTGTATCCATAGGAGAAATACGTCTTGGGACTGGGTTTAGAAGGCCTTACATAAGACGACGCACACATTTACACACAGTAGACCAGGTATGTCCAAACTTTTCACCCAGAGAGCTACTTTCCCAAGACAAAAAAGACAGAGAGCTACTTCTTTAAGTGGTCCTGGGAATTTTTAATATATTGGTGAGTCATTGTTTCAACAGTCATTATTCATCATCACATACTTTATTTGTGCTCATAGTAAATACAATAATACATAATGATAATGAATAATACATATATAGTGTATTATTTGATTTGTTCATTTCTAAATCATTTGGCAAGCTACTGGTGGCTCCCGAGCTACAGGTTGGAGACCCCTGCAGTAGACTACACTACACAGACCAAAATGGAGGACAACCTACAACCTATAAAGAGTGAGAAACTGTAGCGAGAGACTTGCACAAAATTTGTACATATATTTGTATTTATGCTAGCGCTAAAAAAATTATGAAACTAACTGAGAACGTTCTGAACTTGCATCTCCACTTCCCCGACGGCTACTGTATTTTTCTGGTTGATTATACATGATTACTAAACCAGACAATAAGGAAACACAAACGGGTAAAACATGTGGATTGTTGCTTTTTTGTGACTTAAATAACACAGTGTGTCACTAATAACTGTGTCCCAGATACAAGTCTAGAATCACATGCTGTAGTACTTATATAAAACCATCAAATGTATATTACAGTATGTATAAAGCACTATTCATACAGTGTAACCCAAAGTGCTTCACAAACCAACAAACAACACAGTACAGTTTAAAATGAATCATGTGCACAGCTTCAATGAGGCCTGTCTCACATTTTTAAGAAGTCTGCTCTGGTTGGAATCTGTATAAACTTGAACTTCTGCCTCCTCGTGTTTAGCCCTGAGTCTGTGACCAGCACGAGGCCCGGTCCCTGCTCCTCAGAGTCCGATATGGTTCATATGACACTAAACTAATTTGATTTTATTCATTTAAACATGTCACGTCCTAAATACGGCTTCAGAATGATGTTGAATGTCATAAATATAGATAGAATAGAGCAAATACTTGATACTAATATAACTATGGTAGTGAGTAAGTGAGTAAGTGCAAGGCTAAATGCTAAAGGACAACTCAAGACAAAAAGGTTGAGGTTGGTTGAATAAAACTTTATGTCCATTCATTTCAAATCTCTCAAGTTTCCATTCTACTTCAGTGTGTCGTTTTCTAACTTTGAAAATGGGAAACTTTTCTGTCTCCAAACTGCGTGTGTTTGGTTCTGTAGAGACTGTCTCCCTCTGGAACAATTACTGAACTCATCACTCCTGAGAGTCCGGCTGCGACAAACAAACGTCCCCAAGGACCTGAGGCAACAGTAACATTTAGTTCGAACAACTTTGCATCAGAAACATTTGCACTACTTCACTATTTAGCAAAATTGTTACAACTTTCAACGCATAAAGTTTTACTACAGTAAGTACGTTTAGTTCTGTCACTTGTTTTCACATGGATGTACTTTTGGACCACATCTTCAGATCAGCTTTTTCAGATAGAAACATACAGAAGCAAGGACCACCTCATTCTGTCAATCAGCTCTGAGCCCAAGGAGTCGAATAGTGACTCAAAAGGTTACCGTCCAAAATATGGCAAAAATTTGATGAGATGAAGACAGTTGATATGCTCACCACATTTAAAGTTGGCAAAAAAGTCTCTCAGCTCTTTCAAAAAGCATCTAGAGGGATGCAAACAGAGGGTGCATGAAATGGCTTCACTGGTTTCTTGTTGGGGATAGAAACTGATTTAAAAGTTTTTTTTTTTTGACACAAGCCAAAATTGGGGTCTTCTATTTACACTCAAAACCAGATTTAAATCATATAGTCTGCTGCCAAATAATCAATTCTGTACTGCCGGGTGGCACGGTGGCTGAGTGGATAGCACTCTCGCCTCTCAGCAAGAAGGTCCTGGGTTCGAATCCCGGTTGGACCAGGGCCTTTCTGAGTGGAGTTTGCATGTTCTCCCCGTGTCTGCATAGGTTTCCTCTGGGTACTCCGGTTTCCCCTACCACTAAAAATATGTCCAATAGTTCTGGCATGTGCCTCCTGTACTGACCCTGCTCCCATCTCTGTGTGGAGTGAGAGACAAATGCCCAAAAATTAACAATTGTAAACCGCTTTGAGACTCAGATCTGCAGTGAAAAGGCGGTATATAAATAAAGATTACTACTATTACTTACTACTACCTATGGCTAAAGAATAGGAGGAGGCCAACATTAGCTCACATTAGCCTGCGTACCATAACTATTTTGACGATAAACTAATATCCTATAGCTACTAAAACTTGATGGAGTCAAAATATTAAGTCCATAAAGCGTTGCAAAAAGTTTTGTCATGTCATGTCATTTCTACCCCTTTAAGTTATTAATCCATTTCTGGGTCGGGGGGGGGGATCCCTCGCTGATCCTCCTGCAGGTGGTGGGTCCACGGGAAGATGGCTTCTCCATGATTGAAGATATGGCCTTGGTCTTTCAGTGAGAACTTCAGGCAATGTGGGGTTAAGTGTCTTGCCCAGGGACACAACGACAGCAGACATCAGTGGGGGCAGATGACATGGCTCGTGGTGGATTCTTATATTCTGTTTGTGCCACACACTTTGGGCTTTAAAATCTCAGCTTTTTCATTTGGGAATTATTTATCTCTTATAAACCTGCAGGGAACTGGACTCATTAATTTGGTCACGAAACCTCAACAAGAGAATCCCGAGGGTCTATTAGCACGTGCTCAGAGATTACACTATAGTCTCCTGTTACAATTAATTCAATTACAAACAGCATCAATGAGTGAAAATATGCACCAATCACCAAGATCACAAAACCATATCAATAGTCTCCATTAAGAGTATGTACAGTAAAGCAACATACAGGCGTCTTTCAGAGCTGTAAATGAGTATGCATATTCAATATTGGTAACTTTATTGACACAGTGTAGAAAATGACAAAACGATGCAGAGGCCTGGGATTGCGTCTCAGCAGAAGACATCTTTTATTGTCGGGTTGGTTTTGAGCTTTACCTAAAGGATTTTTTGAAGTCAATCTGAAACTTGGCCTGAAGTTTTCTTGTCTGAGTTAGAAAACAAGAACCAGGATTTTGAATATTAAAAGCTGCAGCCGTTTTGTTTTAAGGACTACATCTTGAGTCCTGGATCTGATCCCTCTCTCAATATGAGCTCATCTGAGGTTTCTTAGTTTTTTCCCCACTGCAGTTTTGAGGCATTTGAGTAATTTCTTGCCAATAGGGCTGGAAAGTCTCGTCCCAGAAGCACTTCCGGTTCATTGCTCGGATACAAACAAACCGTCAGCTGTTCGAAGAGGCGGTTTAAGTGAATGGTGCAAAATGCTCTGCTTTGTTTTCGGCTGTAATCATCACAGTTTACGCGACACATGCTCATTCTTTAGGTTTCCCAAAGACCAACTGAAGCTGTGGGAAAAGCTATGCAGTTCTGATAAAATATTTTGTCTGATTTCAGAGACAGTTAACTTGAACATGTATTCAAGCTAACTTGTAGCTAATGCTAACCTGTAATAGTGCGCGGCCAAGCCTTTAATTGTGGCTTGTATTTTAAGATAAGAAACTTTATTGATGTCACACAGGATAAATATTGTCTCTCAAACATTTATTTTAGAGATAAAGGAGGAACATATTAACACGTATTAAATAACATTTAACAAATGTTCAAATATAACAGAAAACTGACAGTCATTCGTATTAAATGAATAGGTAACCCAACTACATCATGTTATTTTTGACAGCACAGCAAAAAGGAAAAAGGCCCAATGTGAAGCTGCAGTGAGTGTGAAGTGGAGATGGAGCTGATGAACAGATAGAAAACTGATCATTCATATACATTGGCTCATAACCAAAGCAGCAAAGATAGGTGTTTCCATATTTTCTTTGATAGTGGATTAAAATACAATGAGTTTGAACCATAGACTGTATGTTTGAACACGGCCCTGTGCCATTCTCATCTCCCCGTCATATGGAAACGTCAGCACATGGCCAGTTCACAGCTAATTCCGACCGTTCACTCAGTTTTTCTGTCCCAGAGACGAAATGTGTCCAAAATAACACAGGAAAGTCCATTAACGAGGAAGAAGTCGGCGATCTCCGCACCATACAACTGGCACGTGTGGTTTATTTGTATCCACGGGTGGAAATCTCGCAAAATCTCGCACTTCCGCTTTCCAGCCCAATACAGCAGTGGTCTGGACAACCTTCCAGACCACTGCTGTTGTGATTTAGGGCTATAGATAGATAGATAGATAACTTTATTTGCGGACTCGAGGTCCAAAGACACAAGACAAGAAAACAAATAAATAAAATAAAATACACAACAGACAATAAAAACCTCTAATCTTTCAAGAGGCAGGCATACCAGTGTTTCCAAAGCAGCGATGTGTATCGCACCTCGCTGCACACAACACTGGACAATAAAATAATCACCGAATTTTTTGAATCATTCAGCCGACATATAAACTTAAACATCAGATTTCTCAGGACAGCTTGCAAAGTGTTTACTCTATTTGACACAAAGAGATCACTGGCTCTAGTCCATCGGGGCTTTTTTAATAAAATTCTCAACGCATCGTTGTAAGCAACTGTAAGTTTATGAAGGCTGGACTTTTTGTAATTAACCCACAGATGTGCTGTGTACAGAGGTGAGCAGTAAGCTCGAAACAGAGCTACTTTCACCTGAACAGAACAGGAGGAGAATTTCCGAGCCAGAGTGTTCGCTTGCGCATATAGCATCCTGCACTGGCGGTACATGTCCTCGTCATCGGTCAAACGGTCAGTTATGATGTGACCAAGGTACTTTACAACATCACACACAGTTAATATGTTCCCTGAGAGCCTAAAGTCCGGAAACCTCAGTGATCTGTCATCTTTAGTCCGGCAGATCATGATTACACTCTTACTAGAGTTGTATTTCACATCCTGAAGTTCCCCAAACTCAGAGCAAGCATTTAGCAACTGCTGGAGACCGGCTGAGCTCGGGCTAAACACCACCAAGTCGTCCGCATACATTAAGTGATTAATTAAAGCACCACCAACCATGCAGCCAGTTTTGCACATATTCAGCTGTCTGGACAGGTCCAACATATAGAAATTAAAGAGCAAAGGGGACAGCAGACTTCCCTGTCTCACACCATTGCATGTCTGAAATGGTTCCGAAACACATTTGTCCCATTTGACCTGCATAGTCTGATGAGCATACCAATATGAAAGACATCGAATAAGATATTTTGGCACCGCTGTTTGACTCAATTTCTTAAATAATTTTCTGTGATTCACACGATCAAAGGCCTTAGAGGCATCTAAAAAACATGTAAAAACAGTGGAATTCTTTCTTCTGTAGTTACATAATACTTCTTTCAGTGAAAAAATACACATATCAGTTCCATGATTTGCTTTAAAACCAAATTGATTGTCTGTATCAGAGATAAATTTAACAAGTCTGTTCAAAAAAATATATTCTACCACTTTAGACAGAATATTGGCCAGGGCAATAGGTCTATAATTATCTGAGCTCCCCACTTTTCCTGCCTTGTCCTTTATTACAGGCACTAGGAGTACAGTCATCATGGGGTCAGGAATGAACCCATGCACAACAAACGCATTAAAACACAAGGCCAGAAGAGGGGCTAGCCTCACACTGGCATGCTTCAGGTGTTCAGCTGAAATCTGGTCTACTCCAGAAGATTTATTAACAGACAGACTGTTAACAGCTTGATAGACCTCTTGGGTGGTGATGGTTTCAACATAATCAACGTTTTCAACACTAAAAATTTCACTTGGCACACAGTTGAAAAGGTTATAAAAGTGCTGTCGCCAGAGATCAGCTATCATATAAGCCCCATTTACTCCATCTACTGTGTGTGGTAGAAGGGGTTTACAGTTGTTAACCAGTTTAACCTCTTTCCAAAAAGTTTTAGGGTCACTACCCAAGAGTTTTTTAGCTATGGACTCAGCTCTCATAGTTTTCTCATTTTTACAGATGAATCTTATTGCATATTTATACTTTGCATTTGATAACTTTTTATGCTCAAATATTGGCCCTTGTCTTGGTTTACCAGCCAAAGCCCAGGAGCGAGTAGCATCACGGGCTTCAGTCTGAAACTGAGCCACGTAACTATTCCAACCAGGGCGAGGCTTACTTCTCCTTTTAGATTTGTGAAATGGCTTACTAGCTTTCATCAACACTTGGGTAATGTCAGAATACAAAGATGAGATATCAGACTTATGTTTTGAGTTTGTGCAATTATAATCTTTACACATAACCGCCTCTTTAGGCAATGTAATATTGGCCAAAAGTAGATCTGTGTGGGCACCATAGCAGATTAGGTCTCCTGTGGAGAGAGAACTCCAATCAAGGAATTCATTATTTACAGTAATGCACGGCTGCAGAGTGACAGGTATATGGTTGAATTCGATCGATATGGATAGAGGGATGTGATCCGAAGTGGACAATTCATATAGGATGTCCATGTCTCTCAAAGCTGCATGAGCATCAGCAGTAGTGATACAATGATCTAGCCATGAGGTGGTGTGCCAAGCTTCACTTATATATGAGTAGCTCTGGGCAGGTAATAGAGCTTTACTCGACAAAATCAAATTATTATCTGTACAAAAATGGGCTAAATGCCTAGCAAAGGAAGAATTATTGTCTGATATATTTGCATTCATATCACCAATCACATAGACACAGCTAAACTTATCATTTTGTATGAAAGAGCTGATCAAACCAAGTTTGCTCAAATACTCCTCTTCATTTTGACTGCATTCATATGGAAAATACACATTTAAAATCAGAAATTCTTTGTTATGTTGAGACAGACGTATAGCGATACACCAGTCTACATCGAGTCTAATGACGCTAACCAGTGAGTCCAGTTTTTTATTCCACAAAATAGCTACGCCTCCTGGAATTCTGCCCCTCTTTACTCCTAAACTAAGGTCAGTAGTTGATTCCCCAGCACCGAGGTAACTGTCATGTATGGAGTTCAGTCCTTTAAGATCTTGCTTAGCAAGAAACGTTTCTTGTAGGCAGAGAATATCACACTGACCTAAAAGTTCATCCACAACAGCGCGGCGCACTTTGTTGTCCACACCTTGGCCCACACGCAGGCCACGACAGTTATATGATGTGACCTTAATATCCATAGCTATTGTTCATTCAAGCTCCCTTGCGCAAACGGCATAGCTCCGGCGGCCGTTGTAGCAGCGTTAGCTCCAATGATAACTTTACGCGGCTCGTAGTACCGTCTTACAAAGGTTCCCTCTGGCCATAATTCAGGATTATACATAACTTCTACCTCACTGCATTCGGCCGATACTTTGAACGAGGCGTATCTGGTGTTTGCGGTATTAATCTTTGTACATGCCACATCATTCCCGAGTTTCTCCATGAGATATGCGCGTAAAGTTTCAGGTTCTATGTCGGGTGAGAACTTAGAAGCAAAGACACTCACCAATTTGGTTTTGATCATTTTGATGCTCTCAGACTTTCCAGTGCCCACAACGGTTCTGCCCCCTTTCCTATTACCAGGAGTCGGGCGTTCAACCCTGGGAGCCGCTGGTTTGGTCAACGCCGCCTGCAGCTCCCTACGGGGACGTCTTTTCACAACCTGGTTCCATTTCGGTGATCCAGGCTGCGTTGCCTCCCCTGAGCGTATCGTTGACTTGTCCGAGGCCGAAAGCAACGTTTCCTCGGTCCCGTTGTGGCTGTGCCCTGTCCCAGTGACCTCTCCTGCTAGGCTAACGCCGATAGCCTCCAGTGCGCCATGGTTCGAGCACGCCTCCAGGGCGCACACTCGATTGCTCACATCCACCGTGACAGCCCGCAGGCCGTCGCTGACTTCAGCCTGAATATGCATTGCTTCCTTCATGGCAAAGATTTCAGCATGAAGGTTCTCCATTTTGCGGAGCAGGCCACACACATCCATATTTGTAAAAGACACCGGGGGCAATTCATCCAGGTAGTGGGACACAAATCTTGGGATATTGTCCCCACATTCATTAAGCACTTTGAGACACGCCTTAATGTTGTTGGCATCTTTATTCGCTCCTTTATGTGCGATATTGCGTTGTGTAGTAGAGGCGCAGATTTCAAACAGAGTTTTCTTAGACGCCTCAATCCAGTCTGAATCAAAAGTATTTGCAGCCAACAAAACAATCTCATCTTGGCTCAGTGTCTTTTGTTTTACTGAGAGGAAGTGTAGAAATTCATCCTCTACTATAATCTTGCCATCCGTAGTTTCATATATCTCTGGTTTCAATCGAACTTTAGAGAACGCAGGTGCTCCAGACATGCGTGCGACCGTCTCAGTCGCCATCCTCTCAAAATATACAAAAAGCCTGAGAAGTTATTACAATGGTGTATATTGTCCTCTGCGTGCATTATTCTGTACCAAGTGTCTGTCTAAGTTTGTAGCAGGCCTCACAGTTTGTGCTACACTTGAGATGAAACCGTTGAAGTTGCTCCGTAGTCTGAACTCCCAAAGTGCAGCCGCTGTCGCCTTTGCACAAACAGCTCATTAGAAGGTCCCAGGAGATCACTGACGACAGAGGAACGGGCACAAACAACAGCATCAGAGAGAGATTCAACACACGGGTCAGAGGTCGTGGCCCCGAAAGAAACCTGAGAATACTGCCAAACTGCTGTTGCTGCTCTCAGGAACCTGTGACCATGTGTCCTTCAGCCTGACGGAGAGAGAATGGGCACCGATTAGCAGTCGTGAGTCCAACACTTGGACAAAACACATTTAATATCACAAAAGCATAATTACAGTAGGTACAGTACAGTAGTGGAGAGCTCTCAGGCCCCACAACAAGAAGGTTTGAGTTTCTAAATTTGAGTTTCTGTGTGCGTGATGTGGAGCAGTCCTGTACCTAAGTGTAGCAAGTCTACTTCATATGAAATACAATTAAAAACGTTTAACTTCAGTAAATCCTTAATTTCATACATCCAGGTTTGTCTTAATGTCACCATGTTTTACTTCTGTTTAAGTTAATAGTAATAATAAGTTGGATCACGATTGAAGTAACAATGGCGTGGTCGGTATCAATCAATCAATCAAATTGTATTTATAAAGCGCTTTTCATACACAAAGTGCTTGCCTATACATGGTTTTCCATCACGTGCTTATTACCCATGATGCTTTGCGCAAACGGCATTTTGGGAGTCAGGCTATTGCATGGAACATCTGTAGCCATGTCATCTAAAGCCACGAACTGGGCCGATACTGACCGTGTTAAGTCAGTATCCTCCTCCTCCTCCTCCTCCCCCTCCTCCTCCTCCTCTTCCTCCTCCTCCTCCCCCTCCTCCTCCTCCTCCCCCTCCTCCTCCTCCTCTTCCTCCTCCTCCTCCCCCTCCTCCTCCTCCTCCTCCCCCCCCTCCTCCTCCTCCTCTTCCTCCTCCTCCTCCCCCTCCTCCTCCTCCTCCCCCTCCTCCTCCTCCTCTTCCTCCTCCTCCTCCCCCTCCCTCCTCCTCCTCCTCCCCCCCCTCCTCCTCCTCCTCTTCCTCCTCCTCCTCCCCCTCCTCCTCCCCCTCCTCCTCCTCCTCCCCCTCCTCCTCCTCCTCCTCCCCCTCCCCCTCCTCCCCCTCCTCCCCCTCCTCCTCCTCCTCCCCCTCCTCCTCCCCCTCCTCCTCCTCCTCCTCCTCCTCCCCCTCCCCCTCCTCCTCCTCCTCCCCCTCCTCCTCCTCCTCTTCCTCCTCCTCCTCCCCCTCCTCTTCCTCCTCCTCCTCCCCCTCCTCCTCCTCCTCCTCCTCCTCCTCCCCCTCCCCCTCCTCCCCCCCCCCCTCCTCCTCCTCCTCTTCCTCCTCCCCCTCCTCCTCCTCCTCCTCTTCCTCCTCCTCCTCCCCCTCCTCCTCCTCCTCCCCCTCCTCCTCCTCCTCCCCCTCCTCCCCCTCCTCCTCCTCCCCCCCTCCTCCTCCTCCTCCTCCCCCTCCCCCTCCTCCTCCTCCTCCCCCTCCTCCCCCTCCTCCTCCTCCTCTTCCTCCTCCTCCTCCCCCTCCTCTTCCTCCTCCTCCTCCCCCTCCTCCTCCTCCTCCTCCTCTTCCTCCCCCCTCCTCCCCCTCCTCCTCCTCCTCTTCCTCCTCCCCCTCCTCCTCCTCCTCCTCTTCCTCTTCCTCCTCTTCCTCCTCCTCCTCCCCCTCCTCCTCCTCCTCCCCCTCCTCCTCCTCCTCCTCCTCCTCCTCCTCCTCCTCCTCCTCCTCTTCCTCCTCCTCCTCCCCCTCCTCCTCCTCCTCCCCCTCCTCCTCCTCCTCCCCCTCCTCCTCCTCTTCCTCCTCCCCCCCTCCTCCTCCTCCTCCCCCTCCTCCTCCCCCTCCTCCTCCCCCTCCTCCTCCTCCTCCCCCTCTTCCTCCTCCTCCTCCTCCTCCTCCTCTTCCTCCTCCCCCTCCTCCTCCTCCTCCTCCCCCTCCTCCACCTCCCCCTCCTCCTCCTCCTCCCCCTCCTCCTCCTCCTCCTCCTCGCTCCCTCCTCCTCCTCCCCCTCCTCCTCTTCCTCCCTCTCCTCCTCCTCTTCCTCCTCCCCCTCCTCCTCCTCCTCCTCCTCCTCCTCCTCCTCCTCCTCTTCCTCCTCCCCCTCCTCCTCCTCCCCCTCCTCCTCCCCCTCTCCTCCTCCTCCTCCTCCTCCTCCTCCTCCTCCCCCTCCCCCTCCTCCTCCCCCTCCTCCTCCTCCTCCTCCTCCTCTTCCTCCTCCTCTTCCTCCTCCTCCTCTTCCTCCTCCTCCTCCCCCTCCTCCTCCTCCTCCTCCTCCTCCTCCTCCTCCTCCTCCTCCCCCCTCCTCCTCCTCTTCCTCCTCCCCCTCCTCCTCCTCCTCCCCCTCCTCCTCCTCCTCCTCCCCCTCCTCCCCCTCCTCCTCCCCCTCCCCTCCTTCTCCTCCTCCTCCTCCTCCTCCTCCCCCTCCTCTTCCTCCTCCTCCCCCCCCTCCTCCCTCCTCCCCCTCCTCCTCCTCCTCCCCCTCCTCCTCCCCCCCCCTCCCCCTCCCCCTCCTCCTCCTCCTCCCCCTCCCCTCCTTCACCTCCTCCTCCTCCTCCTCCTCCCCCTCCTCCTCTTCCTCCTCCTCCTCCCCCTCCTCCTCCTCTTATAAATCTTATACCCCACCCCTGTGAATATCATAATTTACGTTGTACATTCACATAGATTGGATGCTTGTTATGATCAGTGGGGGAGGGTCCCAGCTCAAAAGTGGCCAAAATGACGTGCGCTGACATTCTGCAATACCACCCCGGGCCTGTGGGGGTGGACCCGGAAGAAGAATTAGCCAATGCATATAGCGTCTGCCAACATATAGCGTTGGCAGACCTCTGGAAAACGTCTTCACAAGATGGACCAAAAGTTGGCTCTTGGCCCAAAGCTCCGTTCCACATGTGTGTCAATGCTGAGGGGGGTGTTTTGGTCCACTCTAGTTTACTCGCTGTGAATTTTTTAAGTCTCTCGTTCAAATGAATGGAGCTGCGCCGACTGACGCATGCGCAGATGCGTTTTTTCACAATTTTCTTGTGGGCGGGACCACTCGCGGCCATTTTGGATTGCTCCAGTAGAGCACATTTTTTGGCCCATTAGTTAGAACGGCAGAGATAGGCGTGACTCTGTCCGTTAATATATACAGTCTATGGTTATGACGTAGAATGATCCTCTCTCGTTGGTCTGACCTGCAGTTTAGCGCTAACCGGCGTTATATAGACTTAGTATCACGGTCAGATCTCTGAATATAAACCACACATGCACAGATTTAGCTCTTACTTGTTATGAAATGGTCAGAACAGACCTTATGGTGCCGTTTTTCGGGGGTTAGGGTTGAATCCGTCTCAGTTGATCCTCGCCAACTAAGGCCCGATTTGGTTAGCGACAGCTAGCGGTGGCTAGACTCCCAAAATGGCGAACTGCGGAATTGTCGGTAGTGCGTGACGTCAGTGGAAAACTATCTATTGCCGGTCCCTGGTGTCGCTTGTTTCGATTTCTGTTTTGTATTTGCAAAGTAAATATATCTAATTATTGGGAATACATGGTTTTTTGTGTTTAATTAATCCACCTCATGGTAGTTTTTCCTCAAATAAACACTTTTTGTAAAACTGTTGCTTTGGATCCAATGTTGTATCAACACAATCGACTGAAAGCATCAAATAGTTCATAGTTCATGAAGCACCAAACACAACATGTTTAGACCATAGGCAGTAAATATCAATATTAATATTAGACCCCACCATTCAATGTAAGCACTTAAGAGTGTTATGTATTTTTTTGTCCACATGGTGGCGCAGTGGAGCATCGAGCCTTCGAACCATGGGCCGAGTAAAAGGCTGCAAACCCTTGTAAATGTAAACAGCTAAAGGAACATGTAAGTAATCTTTATTTATATACCGCCTTTTCACTGCAGATCTGAGTCTCAAAGCGGTTTACAATTGTTAATTTTTTTGGGCAATTGTCTCTCACTCCACACAGAGATGGGAGGGGTCAGTACAGGAGGCGCATGCTAGAACTATTGGACATATTTTTAGAGGTAGGGGAAACCGGAGTACCCGGAGGAAACCTACGCAGACACGGGGAGAACATGCAAACTCCACTCAGAAAGGCCCTGGTCCGACCGGGATTCGAACCCAGGACCTTCTTGGTGAGAGGCGAGAGTGCTATCCACTCAGCCACCGTGCCGCGTACATGTCTGTACATTGATTATCTCTGTGTATTTTTATGTTGTTTACAGTTATGATGATGGGGAAAGGGGACTTAGGGTACAAAGCCTGACTTATGAAAGTGAACTGCAGTGTGTCCTCTGACCGCGAGAGGCAGCAGTACGCCAAGAGAAGCTCAGTCTGCCGGAAACCAAAGAAGAAGAGACGCATCTACAGCAGATTCCACAAACCTCTAAACGACACGGTCAGAACATCACTCCCACAAACACAGATGTAAGTACAAGACTGTAAACCTGTTTTATTCACCTCTAACTCTCATTCTGACGCTGCTAAGGTTCGAGAGGCTCCTGCGTCACTCAGAGGCTAATGCTAATGCCAATGCTAATGCTAATGCCTTTCGTTAGCGTGATTGCTACAAAAACAATAGAACAATAAAAGTTCCAGTGTCTTCTTTCACTCTCAAGTGCTTTATCAGGGAAATGTGTGGATTAATATAGGGTCTGTGGAGGGGCAGAGGGAGGGTTAATGTGGGGTCTGTGGAGGGGCAGAGGGAGGGTTAATGTGGGGTCTGTGGAGGGGCAGAGGGAGGGTTAATGTGGGGTCTGTGGAGGGGCAGAGGGAGGGTTAATGTGGGGTCTGTGGAGGGGCAGAGGGAGGGTTAATGTGGGGTCTGTGGAGGGGCAGAGGGAGGGTTAATGTGGGGTCTGTGGAGGGGCAGAGGGAGGGTTAATGTGGGGTCTGTGGGAGAGGGGCATCTGGCTGCAGACTCCCTCGCAGACCTCCCTGTTCAACCCCTGTCACGTGACCTTCGCCATGAGCTCCTGTTGTGTCACTTACCCGGGACTTGAAAACGTTTTTCTGCACAACGTTATAAAGCTTATATTTAACATATAGTATATATTATGTAACAAACAAAAATAGTGACGTTTGTTCCACAAATTGTGACCAGGTATTATGTATACGAGCGATCGCTGTTTTCATCTGGGCATTTGGGATGCCAAAGGACAATTCTGTTGCCATTTGTTTACAAGAGCGCCACCTACACGTCACCCATAGTATAGAACATGAAAACACGTCAAAGACAATATATATGGAGATACCATGGCAAGGCTTTATTATAGTAAAGAGCTGCAACTTCCATTCATCTGTATTATTCTTGCAACAGCATTAAAGTTACATAGGTACCCAATATTTAGGCCGAGCCAATACGAAGTATTGGGGAGGCCTATTGTTATTCACCGGTTTCATATTATTATTAGGCCGAGCCAATACGAAGTATTGGGGAGGCCTATTGTTATTCACCGGTTTCATATTATAATACTTTTCCTTCCTTATTTTTTTTCCGCAACTTCAATTCGATTTTTGACCCTGAAGACATGCACGAAAGTCTGCACATGGGGGGTCTAAAACGACCGGTTCGGCGAAACATTTGATAAAATGAACGTTTCCAGATTGTCCGACGCTCGCCGACTCTATAACGCCCCCTAGAAATTTCATTTTTTTTGACCCTCTGGGGATTTTTTTTCAAATTTTGGAGTAGGTACACGAAATTCGGATGAGTGATAGATCTCTATGAGACGAGCATAAAAGCCAGTCTAAGCACATGTCTGGGACCAACAGGAAGTCGGCCATGATGGGCCAAAGTTTCGCCACTAATTTGACTTTTCATTTATAAATTCGAACTAGTCCCTGGTTTTTCATCACAGAGTTCTACCACGTCATTTCCCAATCTGGACGGATTGAAGTTATATAATCATCGAACAAAAGTTAGAAAATCTTCACAGTTTTTGTCCCTCGCCATGGCGAATAAGGCCATTTTCGTTTTGGCCATTTTCGCTGAGCCCTGAGGGCCACAGGCTCAGACCTACAGAGCTGAGACTCACATCAGTAATATTAGGTTATGGCCTGAACGCAATGACACTAAAATCATTCGCCCGATATGAGCTCTTTAGCGCCACCTGTCGGAAAGTAATAGGGCACTAGTGCTCGGATCGGCCCGAAAATCGCTGAGTGTATTCTCTGGACCGACACGAGCAAAACATTACATTACGCAAAAGTTGTAAGTCCTACACCTGACCACTGGGGGCGCTGGAAAGTGAACAAATGAACTTTTTAGGGCAAAATGTTTGTCCGATGAGGCTAAAAATGAATTCAGGAATACAGCGTATGACCCTGAACACAACGATATGCAACACACAACTGTGAGTGCAACAGCGCCACCTACAGGCAGTTCAATGTGTTGCATTTTTGGCTTCGTACTAGTCCCTGGATTTTCATCGCACAGACTTCTACCATGTCATTTCTCCATCTGGACGGATTGAAGTTATGCAATCATCGCATAAAAGTTAGAATTTTGTTATCGTTTTCATGCGAGGTAGTGGGGAATTTCTCCATGTTTGATGCTCTCCTGACCACAGGCTCAGACCTACAGAGCTGAAACTCACATCGCTAACAGTTGGTAATGGCCTGAGAGTAATGGTGTGAAAACACACACCTAATGACTCTACAGCGCCACCTATGGAAGGCTTCTGACTTAAACTTTTCCGATCTTCACCAAAGTTGCAAAATCAAATCTTTACATCTGTACGAGCAAAATACTACTCTACGTAGAGGGTGCATGTCCCGGAGGTGACCACTAGGGACGCACTTCATCATATAAATGAGCTTTTATATACGTAATCCTGGTCAGATCGGGCTGCCAATTCGTCGGCGTGACGTAGGGCTGGGCGATATGGCAAAAAAAAAAAATCTCCGATTTTTTCACACCAAATCCAATTTTCGATTTTAATCGATTTATTTTTTTCTATTTAAAAACAAACTACAACTGACAAAGAAATAGATTTTCCTTTATGCAGTTTAATCTAAATCCCCATGGAGCATAAGTGTAACAGGAATTAAGCCTTAAAACATGCTTGTAAACGAGATGGCTCTGCCATTGTAAACAGTGAAAATGTAGCTTAACAGTTTTATAATAACTTCACTTACAATGACACTATGCACCTTCAAAATAACTTAAATCACACAAACAAGGCCCATCGCAAATATATCAATCCTATTAAACACATGCATTATTTACATGAAATATCACATTTTTAAAACTGATTACTCAAAATAGAAATGTTGTAACAGTCTTTTCCAAAAGCCTCCTCGGGTTTTCATGCTTGTTCTTTCAACTGTGCCTGAGTAACTGTGCTGTAGTACAACGCTCGGTCCAGCTGGTGGCGCTAATACTAACTTCAGTGACTCCCGCATTGTGCGAGCTTCCTGTTTACATTCTGATGCTGTAGCTAACAGCTACTGTAGCAGCTACTGTAGCTAACAGCTACTGTAGCAGCTACTGTAGCTAACAGCTACTGTAGCAGCTACTGTAGCTAACAGCTACTGTAGCAGCTACTGTAGCTAACAGCTACTGTAGCAGCTACTGTAGCTAACAGCTACTGTAGCAGCTACTGTAGCTAACAGACAGCGGGGAACACGTTGTTTGTATCAGAGCAATGAGAGCAATGTGTGAGACGTGTCTTTCCCCAAAGTGCAGCGGCTCAGTGGGACACGAGTGTGTGCGCGCCACGGACACGGGAGTGCGCTTTGGAATAACGAGCGTGAGAGAGCGTGAAAGATGTGGCGTACGAACATGGCGTACAAACATAGCGACCGGAGCCTGCGTGCGTGTGTGTGTGTGTTTTGGCGATTAAATAAAGTCTGATTCTTGAACGTTTGAAGTGTTATTGCAACAGCACCAACTGTGAGAGCGAGCATCAGGCCAGAGGGAGACTGTTAGCATTAGGTTAGCTTCAAAATGACTGCTCAACACCATAGACCCGCGGTTAGCGCGTTAGCGCTGTAGTTCTGCGCTGGAGAAAATAAAAATCGAATTTTTAAAAAAAGAAATCGCCCTAAACGTAAAACTCGAATTAATGATTAAAATCGATTAATCGCCCAGCCCTAGCGTGACGCTTGTGGGACTGGCGCCCAGGAGGCGGTCGCAAGAGGGGCGAGGCCTTTCATCGCCGCTTGCGGCTTTAATTAGGCCGAGCCAATACGAAGTATTGGGGAGGCCTATTGTTATTCACCGGTTTCATATTATTATTCTTATTTATTTTCCGCAACTTCTTCAATTCGATTTTTGACCCTGAAGACATGCACGAAAGTCTGCACATGGGGGGTCTAAAACGACCGGTTCGGCGAAAAATTTGATAAAATGAACGTTTCCAGATTGTCCGACGCTCGCCGACTCTATAACGCCCCCTAGAAATTTCATTTTTTTTTGACCCTCTGGGGATTTTTTTTCACATTTTGGAGTAGGTACACGAAATTCGGATGAGTGATAGATCTCTATGAGACGAGCATAAAAGCCGGTCTAAGCACATGTCTGGGACCAACAGGAAGTCGGCCATGATGGGCCAAAGTTTCGCCACTAATTTGACTTTTCATTTATAAATTCGAACTAGTCCCTGGTTTTTCATCACAGAGTTCTACCACGTCATTTCCCAATCTGGACGGATTGAAGTTATATAATCATCGAAAAAAAGTTAGAAAATCTTCACCGTTTTTGTCCCTCGCCATGGCGAATAAGGCCTTTGTTTTGGCCATTTTCGCTGAGCCCTGAGGGCCACAGGCTCAGACCTACAGAGCTGAGACTCACATCAGTAATATTAGGTTATGGCCTGAACGCAATGACACTGAAATCATTCGCCCAATATGAGCTCTTTAGCGCCACCTGTCGGAAAGTAATAGGGCACTAGTGCTCGGATCGGCCCGAAAATCGCTGAGTGTATTCTCTGGACCGAGACGAGCAAAACATTACATTACGCAAAAGTTGTACGTCCCACACCTGACCACCGGGGGCGCCGTAAAGTGAATAAATGAGCTTTTTGGGGCAAAGTCTTTGTCCGATGAGGCTAAAAATGAATTCAGAAATACAGCGTATGACCCTGAACACAACGATATACAACACACAACTGTGAGTGCAACAGCGCCACCTACAGGCAGTTCAATGTGTTGCATTTTTGGCTTCGTACTAGTCCCTGGATTTTCATCGCACAGACTTCTACCATGTCATTTCTCCATCTGGACGGATTGAAGTTATGCAATCATCGCATAAAAGTTAGAATTTTGTTATCGTTTTCATGCGAGGTAGCGGGGAATTTCTCCATGTTTGCTGCTTTCCTGACCACAGGCTCAGACCTACAGAGCTGAAACTCACATCGCTAACAGTTGGTAATGGCCTGAGAGTAATGGTGTGAAAACACACACCTAATATGACTCTACAGCGCCACCTATGTAAGGCTTCTGACCTAAACTTTTCCGATCTTCACCAAAGTTGCAAAATCAAATCGTTACATCTGCACGAGCAAAATACTACTCTACGTAGAGGGTGCATGTCCCGGAGGTGACCACTAGGGACGCACTTTATCATATAAATGAGCTTTTATATACGTAATCCTGGTCAAATCGGGCTGCCAATTCGTCGGCGTGATGCTTGTGGGACCGGCGCCCAGGAGGCGGTCGCAAGAGGGGCGAGGCCTTTCATTGCCGCTTGCGGCTTTAATTCTTATTTATTTTCCGCAACTTCAATTCGATTTTTGACCCTGAAGACATGCACGAAAGTCTGCACATGGGGGGTCTAAAACGACCGGTTCGGCGAAACATTTGATAAAATGAACGTTTCCAGATTGTCCGACGCTCGCCGACTCTCTAACGCCCCCTAGAAATTTCATTTTTTTTTGACCCTCTGGGGATTTTTTTTTTTTAATTTTTGAGTAGGTACACGAAATTCGGATGAGTGATAGATCTCTATGAGACGAGCATAAAAGCCGGTCTAAGCACATGTCTGGGACCAACAGGAAGTCGGCCATGATGGGCCAAAGTTTCGCCACTAATTTGACTTTTCATTTATAAATTCAAACTAGTCCCTGGTTTTTCATCACAGAGTTCTACCACGTCATATCCCAATCTGGACGGATTGAAGTTATATAATCATCAAACAAAAGTTAGACAATCTTCACCGTTTTTGTCCCTCGCCATGGCGAATAAGGCCTTCGTTTTGGCCATTTTCGCTGAGCCCTGAGGGCCACAGGCTCAGACCTACAGAGCTGAGACTCACATCAGTAATATTAGGTTATGGCCTGAACGCAATGACACTAAAATCATTCGCCCAATATGAGCTCTTTAGCGCCACCTGTCGGAAAGTAATAGGGCACTAGTGCTCGGATCGGCCCGAAAATCGCTGAGTGTATTTTCTGGGCCGAGACGAGCAAAACATTACATTACGCAAAAGTTGTAAGTCCTACACCTGACCACTGGGGGCGCCGGAAAAATGAATGAAGGAACTTTTTGGGGCAAAATGTTTGCCCGATGAGGCTAAAAATGAATTCAGAAATACAGCGTATGACCCTGAACACAACGATATGCAACACACAACTGTGAGTGCAACAGCGCCACCTACAGGCAGTTCAAGGTGTTGCATTTTTGGCTTCGTACTAGTCCCTGGATTTTCATCGGACAGACTTCTACCATGTCATTTCTCCATCTGGACGGATTGAAGTTATGCAATCATCACATAAAAGTTAGAATTTAGTTATTGTTTTCATGCGAGGTAGTGGGGAATTTCTCCATGTTTGATGCTCTCCTGACCACAGGCTCAGACCTACAGAGCTAAAACTCACATCACTAACAGTTGGTAATGGCCTGAGAGTAATGGTGTGAAAACACACACCTAATATGACTCTACAGCGCCACCTATGGAAGGCTTCTGACCTAAACTTTTCCGATCTTCACCAAAGTTGCAAAATCTTTACATCTGTACGAGCAAAATACTACTCTACGTAGAGGGTGCATGTCCCGGAGGTGACCACTAGGGGCACACTTTATCATATTAATGTGCTTTTATATTCGTAATCCTGGTCAGATCGGGCTGCCAATTCGTCGGCGTGACGCTTGTGGGACTGGCGCCCAGGAGGCGGTCGCAAGAGGGGCGAGGCCTTTCATCGCCGCTTGCGGCTTTAATTATTATTTTTTTTCCGCATCTTCAATTCGATTTTTGACCCTGAAGACATGCACGAAAGTCTGCACATGGGGGGTCTAAAACGACCGGTCCGGCGAAAAATTCTGCAGCCAGACTCTCTTGTCTGTGGAGGGGCAGAGGGAGGGTTAATGTGGGGTCTGTGGAGGGGCAGAGGGAAGGTTAGGCCCCGTCCCAATTCTCACCCTTGCCCTTAAAAAGCACACTTGCCCTAGAGTTTGCGCTTGCCCTAGGGAGTGGAAGGGTGTCCCAATACATAGGGAGAAGAGGCGAGGGCCTTCACACCCCTAAAAACCACCTTTGAGCGCAAGTGAGGTCCGGAGCTCGCGAGCGAGTGTGATCCCATGATGCATTACGATAGTTGTTGGTAAAGTAGCTGCCGGGCTCTGCCGGGCAAAGCCACGCCACAATGAAAGAAAACAACATGAAACAAACTGGCGCAAGTTTGTGCAGAACAGGAGAAAGCTCTGAAGCGTGTGCGACTTAGATTTTAATGCTTGTGTTGGTGCCGTGTGTGGTGACGTTCGCTCCCGAAGCGGCTGCAGGGTGTAGCGTTCACTGAGGCTTCAGAGACGTGGATCCATGTTATTATTATAGATCCATGATATTATTATAGATCCACGATGTAGTTCAGAGCATCGCTTTGATACAGTTTGCTTTGTGATCCGCGGGATCGCGGCTGTACCCGTACGTGTATGTACATGTGTCTGTACATGTTTCTGTCTGTGGTACATCGCTGTGCGCGTTTGTACATGCGTCTGTCTGTACACGTGTTTGTGCGTCTGTCTCTGAGTGTGTGATGTGCAGCAATTCTGTACCTAATTATAGCAAATCTTCATATGAAATATATGAAACTTCTCATTTTAATAAATACTGTGTTTCATGAAGTCATATCTGTGTCAGATCTTATCTGTGGTGAAATCAGACACTTTGATCATGTGTGTGACGTGGAACACGTTTGCTGCATCATTTACATATCGTCCCCTAGATCCAGGGGTGTCCCAATTCTTAGGGAGAATGTTGTGAGTGCACTCCCCACTAGGAAGGCACTTTTCTGGTGAGGGCACTCACACTTAAGGACAAGGGTGAGAATTGGGACGGGGTCTTAATGTGGGGTGTGTGGATGGGCAGAGGGAGGGTTAATGTGGGGTCTGTGGAGGGGCAGAGGGAGGGTTAATGTGGGGTCTGTGGAGGGGCAGAGGGAGGGTTAATGTGGGGTCTGTGGAGGGGCAGATGGAGGGTTAATGTGGGGTCTGTGGAGGGGCAGAGGGAGGGTTAATGTGGGGTCTGTGGAGGGGCAGAGGGAGGGTTAATGTGGGGTCTGTGGAGGGGCAGAGGGAGGGTTAATGTGGGGTCTGTGGCTGTAGACCCAGGACTGAAGTGGCTCCTATATAGCAATAATATCTGGATATAGGGTATTACTAGCTTATAGCTGTTCCACCATGTGCACAGAGGGCACCCGTGGTACTGCATACTAAATTCATGTGGGCTACCCAGAAAAAAGTCCATAGAACTTAAAGTAAACAAAAACGGCTTGACCTCACCTGAGGGCGGAGAACCTACAGCTTTCATAAAGGTCAGATTTTGAGGGGATTTTAGTGTCTCTTGTCATCCTGAACTTCTTAAATCCTTCAGATTTCTTGAAATCCACACTTAACTGTCACAAACTCTGCTCGTTTCCCATCCGCCCCGAGTCCTGCCCCCGAGTCCCTTTTAATCCACTTACCAGCGGAAGCAGGCCTTTGAACGTGCTAATCAAGGAAAGTCGTGTCATTGTCCTTTGTTCTGTTGGTTCTTCCACTCCTATCTGCATATGAGGGTGTGTCTTCAACTGGGTAACAAGTAAAAAGAAAGCCTGACTACGCCTGTTTCTGTGTGCGATTTTGTCTAGGTTCAACTGTAGTTTAATATCAGCTTCTACAGTATTATAATTATTTGACGTGTCTTTTTTGTGTTTGTGGCAGATCTACAAAGTCCATCTACAGAATGGGGTTCACCTGTGATCAGTGTGGAAAGACCTGCAGCTCTGCTTCTGATCTAAAGAGACACCACAGAACTCACACTGGAGGAAAACCATACGAGTGTGATCTGTGTGGAACATGTTTTATTACAAAAGAAGGTCTCAAGGGCCACAACAGAATCCACACGGGAGAAAAACCCTTCAGCTGCGACGATTGTGGTCAGAGTTTTAGACATGAGGGTCATCTCAAAGGTCATCAGAAGATCCACACAGGAGAGAAACCATTTGAGTGTGACCAGTGTGAAAAAACATTTAGGACCAAACAGCACCTCTCACGACATCAGCATGTCCACACAGGAGAGAAACCTCACCAATGTGACCAGTGTGAAAAGACTTTTACATGTTTATCTGCCCTCACTGTTCACTACAGAATCCACACTGGAGATAAACCATTCGTCTGTGGAGACTGTGGGAAGAAGTTTACTCACTCTTCCAGCTACAAAGCACATGAGAGAATCCACACTGGAGATAAACCATTCGTCTGTGGAGACTGTGGGAAGAAGTTTACTCACTCTTCCAGCTACAAAGCACATGAGAGAATCCACACTGGAGAAAAGCCATTTGCATGTGACTTCTGCAGTAAAACCTTTAAAACTGCAGCAGAGCGCACAGTTCACCATCGGAGCCACACTGGAGAGAAGCCGTACGAGTGTGACCAGTGTGGAACATGTTTTTCCCAAAGAGGACATCTTAACCAGCACAAAAGAATCCACACTGGAGAGAAACCCTTCAGCTGCGACGATTGTGGTCAGAGTTTTTCTCTGAGTGGTAATCTCAAAGTGCATCAGAGGATCCACACTGGAGAGAAACCATTTGTCTGTGAAAAGTGTGGAAAGTCTTTTACTCATGGTTCATCTCTTACTAAACACATTAAAACCTGTAGAGAAGCAGGTCTGAAGCATCTGGACCAAAGTGAAGGAGACAGAGCTGAGGCTGCATCCTGTGAACCCAGAGTCGGACTCTACAGCATCTCACTTCAGTCTTAAGGCCCCCAACTCCACCGGCTGTGTAAAACGTATTACGTATCCGTCCAAACGTGTCAGTTTCATCTGTTATCTTCATGAGGGTGAATGGAAGTGGCTCCACTGCCCGCGACGCGTCCGTAGCTGTCCGTCCACTGAGGGTGCAAGGGACACGGACGGACGAAATAGAAACAATCCTATTTTTTACGTATGTTTTACACATTATTAAACATGTATTGATATATGCTATAGTCCTTGGTTATAAGAATTTGTTAATGACAATGATTATTAGCAAATGTGTGTAATTTTCTTCCTGTATTAAATTGAAACAATTGTTTCCTGATCATAAATCTGTTTTTCGCGTTCTGTTAATACGCTAAACTTTTCATACACCTTGCTCTTTTTGCCCTCGCTCTGTCCTCTCTCGTCTCCGCTGCACACACACACGCAGAGGACTTCACACCAGAACGTCCTGACGCGAGCCAGAAGTACCGGAAGTAGCCGGCAGGTGTAACGCCGAGATACACTGCCTTGAAGAGATGCACTGCCTCAGGTCAATGCAAACCTGCGCATGCGCGTCTCACTGCAGCCGAAGCATACCAAGATGGCAGACCATGAATTGCTAAAATACGAACGAATTCTGGTGTGAAGTCCTCTGCGTCTGAAAACTAGAGAATGCGCGTCTGATGAGCGGGGTTTCAGCGTTGCCGGTCTGAAAGCACCATAACCCTGTGCTGCAGCTGCTGAGCTTTACAGACCAAACACACACTTTCCTCCAGGTAGACCCATAATTAGAGGCAAAGGAACTAAAAACACAATCAACCATTGATGTTTAGACTTTTTACTTCATATTCCCACTCTGTCTTAGCCTGACTCTCTCCAGACCCATGTAGTTCGCTGCACTTCACACACGAGTCTGGTACTGAGCCACCGTGGTTGGATTTCAGAAGGCAGGGCCTTGTAAAAAAAATCCTTGTATGTGATTGATAGACCACTTGTCCGTTTCTTGAAGAAGCTTTTCAACATCAATAGAGTGCAACGGTTCATCACTGATCCGTGATCCGTTCGGTTCAACGTCTTCGGTTCGGTACAGACGTGATCCGCGGTTTGATTTATGAAAAAAAAGTTGTGCGCACGTTGTTTAGTCCACACACAGCGCGGTCATTGCGAGCGGAGGAACGGAGGAGCTTGAAAGCCCTGCGTCATTTAAATCCCCAGTATGAGAGCATTTTGGCTTCACTGTAACTACACTGATAATTAATATTCGACAAAACTGTCACGATGTGTAAGCACTGTGGCACAAGAAAGACATGAGTGAAAAAAGCGTCTCAACGACCGCTTATTGCCGCGGCATTTAAGCAGCTCCTTTACGCACAGTCAGACCGGGCTAAAGTCAACTCTCCCGCGCATCCTCAGCTGCGCTCACGACTGACGCTCGGACGTCCCGCGGAACCTATAATAGATCCATGAGCGGAACCGCTCACTTCATCACCGCAGACTGGGAGATGAAAAGTCTGGCGCTGCAGACACGCCCCCTCTACGACAGTCACACAGTCACACAGCGCAGGTACTGACACAAGCAGCGGAGGAATGGAAGACAAAGGCCCAGTACTAATATCCCAGTCACAACTGATAATGCCAAAAATTAAATAAATGCAGTGAATGAGGCTGGGCCCAGAATGGAGCGCCTCCTAGGGAGAATCAGGAAGGTGGTGTAATATATGAGAGTAAATATCCTCATAAAGTGCCTTCTTATGTTGCACTTTGTGTTGTTTTTCATTAATTATGTTAAATAGACATAATTGGATGGATGGAATATTCCATCCATCCATCCATCCATTTCCTTCCCCTTAATTCATTTCTAGGTCAGGGGGGGCAGTCGAGCAGGTGCCGAGTCAGACTCAACACGTTCTCATTTGTTGAATTAATAAAAAACCAATCTCCAACAGACATTTTCTTATATCGATTAGAAAAGGATTAATTGCCACAGAAGTTCCATGAGGAAACTTTTACATACATCAAATGCTTTTGTTGAGAGAGGACCTAATATCGAAACTCCTTTCTTTCAATTTTAGTTTGTTTTTCTTTTGGTTGAAGACTGAGGAGAATATTTACAGAAGACATGAACTCGGGACTTGAAGATCCAGACCGAGACCTGTTTAGATTAAGACTTAAATCAGAGACGGAGCTTTCACTGTGGCTCAGACGGTGATCCTCTTTGATCCTGTGACTCGGAGACAGATGCTCACCTGAGGAGCCCACATGAGCGAGGGCCGAGGTCCTGGTCTGACTTCTCTGTGGCCCCTGGTCCCTGATGACGTGGAGAGCTGGGTGCTGCTGTCGTTTGGCTGTGCATCCTGATTAGTCTGTGACGAAGGACACGTGAATAAAGGGTCCAGAACTTTACAACAAACACGGTGTCGACTTGATGACTGCATGGTCCAGTCTCTACATTTATGTTCTATAATAAAGACTTTTATTTTTAGATTTTTTAAAAATATATAACCCTTCAACATATTCAGAACAGGAGTTTGGAATTATCCATTTTATTTTGTAGTTTTTCTGCTGGACACCGGAGTGTCTCCTACGGGCATCAGTAAAGTATATCTGTCTCCTAGCGATGGGTTAATGAAGCTTCATGAAGTGTTGAACTTTTCCATTATTGGTTCTAGAAAAGGTTCATTTCTTGGGGCTTCATATGCTCACAAACCCCCTGGTGGACAAAATCTGTATTGACATTTGAACTGTTCGAGGCTCTGGGTGCATAGAATTAATACTGGTAACAGAAATAAAAATGTAACTTGATTGTGTATGACTTTTATTCATCTGTTTGATTATAATTAACATCAGTAGTAATAACGAATATATTGTAAATGACAAGATTATGATGTACTGGTACAGTTGTCTGCTCTAACACACACACACACACACACACACTTAATAATTAATGATTATAGATTGAAGTCAAATTCAATGGAATAAATCCAATATCCATCCATCCATCCATCTTCTACCCTTTTAATCCATTTCTGGGTCAGGGGGGTGGCAGTCAGAGATGCCACCCAAGTCTCATAGCACCAGCCCCTCACTGACCCTCTGCAGGTGGTGAGTCCACAGGAGGACGGCTGCTCTCTGAGTGTGAGCATAGCCTTGATCTTTCAGTGGGGGCTTTGGGCAAAGTGGGGTTAAGTGTCTTGCCCAAGGACACAACGACAGCAGTCATCAGTGGGAGTCGGTGGAGAAGGTGTAGAGGTGGGAATTGAACCCACGACCTTCAGGCCTTAAGGCCAATGCTCTACCAACTGAGCTACTGTCGCCCCATAAATAAATAAATCCAATAGACAAAAGAAAATTGTGACCCTATCAGTTGTTTAAAACCAATAATTTCTCAGTTTATTGGTTATATATCATTTATATTATCTCACTCACAAATTTAGAAACTTTGAGTTCTCTGAGTGATGTTGTTGTTTTCTATATACAATTCCATGTTGTAATTATTGTGACAATTATTCATACAGCTTTACATTGTGTGTATGTTTATACAAGTTTAGTGAAGAACCCAACTCTTTCACAATAAAATACACACATTGATCACATCGCAGGGTATAAAGAACTCGAAAAAAAGCTTATAGTCGGGCAATTACGATATCTTTAAATCATAAGTAGGTTATTATATTAACGATCATTATAAAATAGGTACAGATGAAGGCACTTTTGATTCAAGTACAAAGTGACCATCCATTTTGCCGATGCAGCACTTTCATTGGACGACACAGAATCAGTTAATTAATTATTTTGATATAAAGTGTGTCTCGAGGCAGAGGTCTGGTCTGAGTTGAGGGATCCTCCTTGTCGCTGTCCTTCCCTCAAACTCCACGACTGTAACATGGATTTATTCAACCCTGCCTTGGACAAAAACATCACATTCGTGCGTCCTCCCTTCTTCATCATTCGTGGTTTCGTGGGCATCCCCAACGTCAAATATTACTATGTCTTTCTATTTTTTGTCTTCATCTTCTCTGTTATGGGAAATGTGTTTGTGATGCTGCTTATTCTTATGGACCCCAATCTACAGACTCCCAAGTACATCGCTGTCTTTAGTCTTGCCTTTTGCGACTTTCTCCACGGCTGCAGTCTGGTCCCGAAACTTCTCGATATTTCTTTATTTGACCATAAACTTATCTCGTACAGCGACTGCATGACTTTTCTATACTTCTGCTATGCCTGCCTTTCCATGGAAGCCTTAAACTTAGTCGCTCTTTCATACGACAGACTCATAGCGATAATCTCACCTCTGCATTACCAAAGCAGGGTTACCCACAGGTTCATGTCCGCGTTAATAGCATTTTTCTGGACTTTCATAATTGTAGTTTTGCTAATTGCGGTCGGTCTCCTGACAAGACTTTCGTTTTGCAATTCAGTGGTGATAAAAAGTTTTTTCTGCGATCACGGCCAGATCTACAAACTTGGTTGCAACGACACAACTCCAAATGTTATCATAAGTTACTTGCTCATTTCTCTGATCCTATGGCTTCCTCTCACATTTATTCTGGCGAGTTATGTCCGGATCGGTGTGGCTTTGGCCAGGATCACCACCAAGCAAGAGCGAGTGAAAGCGTTTAAAACTTGCACCGCGCATATATCTCTTGTGGCTCTCTATTTTGTACCGATTTTGACGACTTTTACGTTGAGTTCAGCCATAGATCCGAACATGAGGATCATAAACCTCTCGCTGACGTCTGTAGTACCTCCTCTGCTGAACCCTGTCATATATGTGCTGCAGACGCAAGAAATCAAGGACTCGGTCAAGAAACTCATGAAAATCACAAGAAGAAACTTGATTACTGTCAAAATATTCCACTGAAGAATGTGCGAGCCCTTTTTTAAGTTTGATCATGAATAATTACATACTATATACCGCAGTAATAGCTTAACTTTTACATCACACAACTGCTTTGTTCTGCCAGACAAGATTGCAAAAATCTATTGGTGAAAATTGAAAAACACCTAAAGCACAAGTTGATATAGAATGTTAATTGATTTTTCCTGGTCACATTCAAGCTTTGTTTGTTGGAGAGCGTCGCTTAAATGTCTTTGCAACCAGAAAAACAAGGTAAGGAATATACTGTTTGTGTTTGCTCATGCTGCACAAATGTGTAGACGATAAATATGATGTATGTAATGTAAGTTTTAAAAAGTTTTGTGAAGAATTATGTATGTTATCTATGTTATATAATTACATGGACAAGTAAAACATCAGTGATAAATATGGCTGAATGTGAGTGTACTTCAAAACACCTCAGTCCTTTCTCAGTCCTGGTTCAGCCCGTCATTAGATCCAGGCTAAAAGAGTGAGTTGTTCCAGAGCCCGGCCTAAATTGGGGCCCGAGGCGGGATGTTTTGAATGAAAAAGTTAAGAAAATTAGGTCTGTATATGTATTTTTTATCTCTGAGTTTGCATTTGCCTGAGTCTGAAGCTGGACCTCATTTGGTTGGTTTCAAATAAGTAAAGACTAGAAGTGTCTGTTGTGACTCAGGACCTGTTCAGTCCTAGCTCAGTCCTGGTTTAGTCTAGTCCAGGTTCAGTCCTGTCTCAGTGCTGGTTCAGTATAGTCCTGGTACAATCCTGGTTCAGTACTGGTTCAGACCTGTCTCAGTCCTGGTTCAGTCTAGTCCTTGTTCCAGTCCAGGTTCAGCCTTGGTACAATCCTGATTCAGTCCTGGTTCAGACCTGTCTCAGTCCTGGTTCAGTCTAGTCCTATGTCAGTCCTGGGTCAACCTTGGTTAAGTCCTGGTTTTATCCTTGACGGGTTCAATTCTAGACCAGTTCTGTCCCAGTTCAGTCCTGGCTGAGTCCAGGTTCATCCCTGGATCAGTCCTGGTACAGCCCTGCCTCAGTCCTGGTTCAGTTCTGGTTGAGTCCTGGTTCAGACTCATCCTTGTTCAGCCATGTCTCAGTCCTGGTTCTGTCCTTTTTCGGTCTAGTCCTGGTTCAGTCTAGTCTCTGTCCTAGTTCAATCTAGTATTGGTTCAGTCCTCTCTCAGTCGCGGTTTAGTCCTGTAAACATAAAAGTTTGTTGACAGCCGTTGAAGTAGGCTGTTTGTTGACAGCCTACTTCTCTAACTTCGAATAACAACTATACTCCTTGGCCTTCTCTCTGTGACGTCAGAACCCCTCCTACAAAACATCAAAAACCAGCCTCCAGACCTCACTTCTTCCCAGACTCTCTTTGACGATGGAGTTTTTCAACCCTGCAGCTACCAACAAAAACATAAGCTTCATGCGCCCTCGTTACTTCATCATCACGGGACTCTCCGGAATCCCCAACATCAAACACTACTACATCTTTCTCTTCATCGTCTACATCGTCTCTGTCATCGGGAACTCTCTGGTCATGGCGGTCATAGTTCTAGACAGTAACTTAAGAACGCCAAAGTACATTGCTGTCTTCAACCTGGCGTTCGTCGACCTCTTCGGGAACACGGCTTTGGTACCGAAACTCCTGGACATTTTCTTATTCAACCGTCCCTATATCCGCTACAACGACTGCATGACTTATTTATTCTTTTGCTACACGTGTCTCTCGATGCAGTCTTTTAACCTGGCCGTGCTCGCCTACGACAGACTCATGGCGATAAGCTACCCGTTGCATTACCAGGTCAAAGTCACGAACAAACACATGCTTTCATTGATCGGCTCTCTATGGTCAATCATCATCCTTGCTGTGCTGATCTGCGTCGGACTCATCACCCGGCTTTCCATCTGTCAATCCGTCATCATAAACAGCTATTTTTGCGATCACGGTCAAATTTATAGGCTTTCTTGCAACGACCATTTCCCCAGCTATGTCGTCAGCTGCCTATATCCCATACTGATATTTTGGCTTCCACTGGCATTCATATTATTCAGCTATTTTTACATTGCTTATACGCTGGCTAAGGTTGCAACACTGCGGGAAGGACTGAAAGCGTTTAAGACATGCATCGGTCACCTCTTGCTGGTAGCGATTTACTTCATTCCGTTGTTGATAGTGTTTACTTTGATGGAGAAAATACAGCCAAATGCGAGGATTATAAACCTCTCTATGACGTCGGTTTTCCCTCCGATGTTGAACCCCATCATTTATGTGCTGCAAACCCAGGAAATAAAGGACTCACTGAAGAGATTGTTAAATATGCGTCGTAAGAAAATAGCAGTGAGAAATATGGCTAAATGTGAGTGCAGTTAGGAATACTTCATACACCTTTTACTCAGTCCTGGTTCAGCACTGTCTCAGTCCTCGCTGAATCCTGGTTGAGTTTTAGTTGAGTCCTGTTTGAGTCCTGTTTGAGTCCTGTTTGAGTCCTGGTTCAGCCCTGTCTCAGCCCTGTCTCAGCCCTGTCTCAGTCCTGGTTGAGTCCTGGTTCAGTCCTGGTTGAGTCCTGGTTCAGTCCTGGTTGAGTCCTGGTCCAGTCCTGGTAACGTCCTGGTTCAGTCCTGGTTCAGTCCTGGTTCAGTCCTGGTTGAGTCCTGGTTCAGTCCTGGTTGAGTCCTGGTTCAGTCCTGGTTCAGTCCTGGTTCAGTCCTGGTTCAGTCCTGGTTGAGTCCTGGTTCAGTCCTGGTTGAGTCCTGGTTCAGTCCTGGTTCAGTCCTGGTTCAGTCCTGGTTCAGCCTGTCAATATTTAGATCTAGGCTGAGATCGAAGGAGGTGTTGTTCTACATTTTAAATTTTTGATGTTGTTGTTTTCTGTATACAATTTCATGTTGTAATTATTGTGACAATTATTCATACAGCTTTACATTGTGTGTATGTTTATACAAGTTTAGTGAAGAACTTTAGATTTCCTCATGTACAAGTTTAATCTAAATAAACTCATTCATTGATTTTTACAATGGAGAAGACTTCTCGTGATTGTTAGCACTGACACACATACGTCAACCTCCTCTTGTTTTCTTTGGTTTTGTTCAAGGTGAGCTCAGTGGTGCTTTAAAAAATATTATTCCAAACAGTTTGGTTGACCAATCCAAGTGTTGTCATCTCATGAGTTTGTTTAAGACGTCACTGACTCCAAAAGCAGGTAATACATTTGGAATCATATCCTATAGACCATGAAAAGCCATCTCACTGAGGTCAGGGAGTTTGTGTGAATGGTCCTTGGAGCTATGTTTCCTGGGGCTTTATGCCTTTGGTTGAGGCCCCAAAACTAGCGTGTTCCAAAACCCACCATGAAAAGTACAACAAAAATGTGATGTGAGGGGCCCATGGATGTATCATATTATCTGGATATTATATTGCTAGTTTAAACCCGGCCCGAGCATGGTAATTCAACAGGCTTATTCAGCAGGAAATGTTCTCAAAGAACCTACAGCTTTCTTAAAGGTCGGTCAAGTGTTGTAATACACTACCGTTCAAAAGTTTGGGGTCACATTGAAATGTCCTTATTTTTGAAGGAAAAGCACTGTAGATAACTTTAAACTAGTCTTAACTGTAAAGAAATACACTCGATACATTGCTTATGTGGTAAATGACTATTCTAGCTGCAAATGTCTGGTTTTTGGTGCAATGTTGTAATTGCTGCAAATGGAGGATTCTTTGACAAAAGCAAAGTTGGATGTAAAACAAATCTTATTTAAATACAAATCATTATTTCTAACCTTGCCAATGTCTTGACTCTATTTTCTATTCATTTCACAACGTATGGTGGTGAATAAATGTGACTTTTCATGGAAAACACTTGGGTGACCCCAAACTTTTGAACGGTAGTGTATATACAAACAAAGTCAACAGATGGATTCCAGAGGTTATCAGCTTAACAATGAGGTATAGGATGAATATACTAGTGAAGCTGAAGTTGGCTGGATGACACAGTAAACTTATTTTTCTTTGTATTAGCGGTAGAGGGCCACATAACAGGACACAGAGGGCCGCAATTGGCCCATGGGCCTTAGTTTGGACACTTCAGCTATAAATCTACACATTTAAAACACTCAAGTTTTTGTCTAGGTCTGTGGAAGTGCCACAACTGTTAGTATTAGATAGCAATATGGCCTACGTGCAGGACTCTACAAGGACTCTGATTATTTTGACTCTGATGTGACTGTCTCTGTGTGACACGTATTTCTTTCGATGTGTGACGTGACAATGACTATATAAACTGTGTACTGACTCCATTCTGTCTGAGAGAAGGAAACAATGGAAACCACTGGAACTAGAGAGAAACTTAAATAAACTTCCAGAGTTTGGCGCACCACGATCCGTCTCTGTCTGCTTAATCCCTGACACAACCTTAACCTTCCGCACACAACCGGAGGATCAAAGGCGGCTACTTCCCACTTCCACCTACGGTCATAAGCTTTGAATAATGACCGAAAGGACAAGATCACAGAAACAAGCGAACTAAATGAGTTTCCAAACGAATGCCCAGCTACAGAGTAGCCAGGAGCTCAGTCACACGAGAGGAGCTCAGAGTAGAGCCACTGTTTTAATACATTCACCTTTCACTTGATTCAGATGTAAATGAAAGCCGTCAGATTGTCCTGACTGTAGACCGAGCTGCTCCCTGAGGACAGCCCCATGGTCCGGATCGTGGATATAAGCAGAGGACCTGATCCAGGGGAGGGCTGGAGGCACAGGTCTCTCAGCCGCTCTCTCACTGGCCACACATGGAGTTTTTTAACTCTGCACTGGGAACGAACATTACTTTTGTACGACCTCCTTTTTTCATAATAACTGGTTTAATTGGTATTCCACATGTAAATTATTATTACGGTTTCCTCTTTACAATTTATATCGTGTCTGTTTTGGCCAATGTCTTCGTGATGGTGGTAATAGTCTTGGATCGTCGGCTCAGAACTCCCAGATACGTCGCAGTGTTCAGTTTGGTCATCACAGATTTCTGCAGTACCTGTGCTTTGGTGCCAAAAGTCATAGATATTTTCCTGTTTGACCATCACCGCATTTCTTACAACGACTGCTTGGCTTTCATGCACTTCTGCTTTTTCTTCCTCTCCATGCAGTCCTTCAACTTGGTGGTTTTGGGGATCGACAGAATGATGGCTATCGCTGATCCGCTTCACTATCACGCCAGAGTGACTTTTAGATTCATGTTTTCCATTTTAGGTTTTTTCTGGATCATTGTTTGTATCATCGTGTCTGTCAGCACCGGTCTCCTCACCCGACTCTCCTTCTGTAATTCTGTTGTTATAAAAAGCTACTACTGTGATCATGGTCCGATTTACCGTCTGGCCTGTAATGATTTCACCCCCAGCTTGGCGATCGGGATTCTGTCTCCCATCCTCATTCTCTGGCTCCCTTTGGTGTTTATCGTAGGTAGTTACTGCTACATTTTGTACGCACTGGTAAAGATTTCAGTTCCTCGAGAGAGAATCAAAGCTATGAAAACCTGCTCCTGTCATCTATCTTTAGTGGCGATATACTACTTGCCAATTATTTTTGTTTATCTCTTTTGGAAAGACATTCATCCAAACGCTCGAATCATAAACGTATCATTAACGTCTCTTGTGCCGCCCATGGTAAACCCGGTCATTTATGTGATCACCGACAAAGAAATGAGAGAATCTGCGAAAACATTACTAAAAAATCTAAGAATACAGACTGTAACAAAAACAAAAACAGGAAGATGATTTAACAGAATTATTGTAACTTCTCTATAGCTCTAAATGTGTTTCTATATATAAGAATTAGTAGATTTTATATCATCTGGAAGTTTAACATATTATTATTACTTTAATATTATTGTCCAAACTCAGGCCCTCTGGTTGTGGACTTTTTGTTGGGTTAGTTCTTTACTTACTTTTTGATTTATTTCTCTTATGGCATTTTTTGGGTTATATTAGGGCTGGGCAATATTCAAGTTTCAAAACTATTTTAAATTTACTTCCCCCAATACGTATTAAAAAGTCTTGTACAGACTGTGCTGATATTGTATAATTCATGTGCTGCTGGAACTCTCACAATATCCATTCGATTTCAAGATGTTCAAATTTTTCACAAATTCGATTTTTTCTGAAGCCGATTAATTGCCTAAATTTGATTTATTGCCCAGCCCTTGGTTATATGTATCTGTTCTGCTTTTGGGTCCTTCCTTGTTTTAACAGCGTCCTCCAGTCAACTTCAGCTCTCACTATAAGTTATCCCTCGTTATAAATCTCATAACCTTTGGAATCGCTTTGATGCTAATGTAGCTGTGGTGTGAATCGATATACAAAGCCCAGATTGGCCTAAATTTAGTCAAAATAGTTTTACAATCCATGTTGTCGGCCTCTGGACAAGTCTGGCAAACTAAAATGGCCCTCGTACTAAAAAGTTTGAACACTGCACTAGAATGTTTACATTTATCTACAGATGCATACAAGTATACTGTATATATACTTTTGCACTAGAGTATACATGTTCATACCTGTTTTTCATACCATGTTTTTATACTTTGTTTCTTCATGAAGCAAAAGATAGTGATTTTTAAAAAAGTACAAATATATAGTTGATGTTTGTTTATCTTGTGTTGCGTCCTCCTCATTCCTACTGTTCTGTCACTTGTAACACAACACCGACATTTCCCCACTGTGGAACGAAAAAGGGATGTTTTAATCTTAATCTTTATATCTCTTGGGAAGAATCTAAATAATTAGTGCAGGCCTGTGTAACTTACAGCCTCCATCATGTCCGGTCCATGATACATATTTTGAACAAAGAGCGATGATCCCAGTTTAGTCCTGGTTTACTATTTTTTGTATAATTTTTCTCAGTCATCCGTGGTTTATTTTTCCGCTTGTACTAACCTGCTTTATTGTCTGTAGCTTTATAGCTTTGTTTGTTGATGACTGTAAGGTCAACCAAGAAAGAAGGACAGGGAAACCATTAAACAATAACTAAGAAAATGTAGCTCATAATTTGTAACAGTGACATTTTTTAACCAAATATTAAGTTTTATTGAATCTAGGTATTGATCATTTATATCTGAAAGATAATATAAGTGGCGTTGTTTTATTTACAAAATTAGCGTTATAATAAGCCCAGACTCTCAGTGGACGCCGCATTGACTTTGGTGTCCACTAGGGGGCCACAAAATGCTATTTCCACATGTCTCACTCCTGGTGTAAATAAAATTAAAAAAACAATCCCTGCGTTTATTCCACGCTGTAGGTGATTATAACCATCAAGTACTTAAATGAAACCTGTATTTATTTTTTTCATGTTCTGGATGAGAATCTTGCGTAAAACCAAAGTCCTTTGCATATCCTTATTTGGTGACAGGATGTTTGTACGTCTGTTTGGAGCAGTAATTGTTTGATCTTTCTGGTGCAAAGTGATGCAGAGGTCATATAACTATAGTTGCATTAATAACATTTACGTTGACTGTTACATTTAATTAACTTTTTAGACTCTTCCAGCGTGTAGCTCTGAGTAATGACTGTTTTTCAAAGCACTGAAGGAACTTAAGAAAGTCTTCGGTTAAACTCATTTTGTTGCCCTGGATTATAAACTCAAACTGTAAGATTTGTGTGGACATAAACATGTATGTAATGTGTTGAATTTTAGACTCACGTTGTGTATCCTCAGATGTGCAGCACTTTGGAAGCTGTGCACCTGTTTATAAATAACAATAAATAAAAACTAAATTAACTGTGACATTGATTTTTCATTCATGCTTTGCTTTCACTGTGTCCTGTGGCTCTCTCCTTGTGCAGATGGCTCCTCGGATGATGCTTCTCTCAGCCTCAGGTTTTTGTTTTCATCAATGTTATAGTCTGAGTCTGTGCAGTGGTGTGTGCTGTGCCTTTAATTAACTGTAAAACACTTTGTCTGAATGAAAAGCACTTTAAAACTAAAGATGTGACTTGATTGGATTCACTTCTATGATTGTCTTTAAATATTTTGTTATTAAGTATATGGTTTTATTCAATTGTCGCTCTTTAAGCTGCAGTTTTTGCAGAAAATATGCTTTCTTCAATATAAACATAATAATAAGTGAACCACTGACTCCTGCCCCTCCCCTGGAGCAGAACGCTCTGGTGCCTCATGACGAGTGGATAAATTCCTCCCAGACCTGGACTGGGATTAGTTTGTGAAACATGTCTTTGAGCTCAGACTGAACATGGAGAAGAGCACTTTCTCAAACTCCACCTTTGTTCGTCCAGCAACATTTTATATGAGTGGCTTTTATGACTTTCCACACGGCACATATTTGTACATTTTCATGTGTTTTGTTTATGTGACCACTGTCTTTGGGAATGTGTCTCTGCTTCTCATGATTCTGATGTACAGAGCCCTCCACACGCCCAAGTACATGATCGTGTTCAACCTGGCGCTCACAGACCTCTGCGGCAGCACCTCTCTCATCCCCAAACTCCTGGACACTTTGTTGTTTGAGAACAGATACATTTCCTATGAGTTGTGTCTGAGTTACATGTTTTTTGTGATGTTTTTTAGCAGCTTGCAGTCCTGGACACTTGCTACCATGGCGTGTGACAGGTTTGTAGCCATCTGCTTCCCTCTGCACTACCACAGAGTCATCACCAAGTCCTCTGTGTTCTGGTTACTGCTGTTTGTTTGGCTCCTCTGTCTGTGCATCATGGGAACTATTGTTGTTCTCGTGGACCGTCTGTCGTTCTGTCAATCTGTAGTTGTCCAAAGTTTCTTCTGTGACCATGAGACCATGTACCGCATCGCCTGCAACAGTGCTTCAGTGAACGCACAGTTTGTCCTGTTTGGGGGCGTGGTCGTCATTATCATTCCCCTCACTGTGATCTTGTGCAGTTACATGAGTATAGCTGTTGTTCTGAAGAGGGCTTCTCTCGCAGACAGCCTCAAAGCTCTGCGGACCTGCTCGGCTCACCTGATACTGGTGGCCATATTCTTCATCCCTCTGATCGGGGCCAGAACTGCTGCTACTCTCCCCAACTCCAACCCAAATATTCGCATGATAAATTTTATGTTGACGTACACAATACCATCACTACTGAACCCTTTTGTCTACTCTTTAAAGACAGAGGAAATGCTGACCCTCATCAAGAATTTGTATGTCAAATGTTAAATGAATGTTGTGTGTGTTTGAAGAGATTGTCGAGGACTTGGGAGTCATTTCTGCTTTTGTGTAGCCGAGGAGACATTTGACACAACCGTTGATATTATGTTATTTATAGGCATCTCACAAAGACATTCAATCACTATCTAAACAGCTTTTTGCTTAAGAAGGGGACTCTATTGGGCTATATTTATTGTGTATTTTAATATTGAAAGCAGGGGTACCTAACTTTTTCCATTTCATTGTCTGTCCCTTTGCCTGACAGTGAACAAGAGTTTCTTTTACTTAGCTAAAGCTGTGTACAGGGCCTGCTCTTATGTACCTGTCGGATTTGCAACTTTTTCTACTATTAAATTGTGGTCAGTCCTAATAGAGGTGGTCTTGTACAAGTGTAAATGAAAATGTGAACTAGTCAGACCACACCATGTCATCTTCTTAGAAAACATTTGACAAACATATGAGAAAGAGCCTTCTCCTCACTTCATCCTGAATAATAAGTGAATAAATAATAAGTGCAAATGAATCAGGAGCAACTTAATAATAATAATAATGCATTGGTTTTATATTGCGCTTTTTTGGACACTCAAAGAAGCTTTACATGTCATTATTCATTCACTCCATACACAGAGGTACATTTACAAAATATAACAGAAAGTAATAATACTAACATAACACAATGAAATGAGTGGGGGTGGTCCTTTCTGTTTGTGAGCCATAAAGTCATGATGGCTCATATCTGGATTTAAAAGACAATATCAAAATAGAGAGCGATAAACAAACCACAGATTTAAGCCCAAAATGGTGAGTGGAGGAGGTGAGCTTTCAATGTAGTCAAGAGATGCCAGGGTGAGTTGGAGCAAAACTTCAACCATGAGCACTTCCCTCTAGAGCTTCATTGAGCTAGCACGTTAGCATTGTCCATCTGCATACAGTCTAGTCACTCAAGTCACTCGCTTACAAACTGCAAGACCAAACTTTAGCGTTCAGATCTTTGTGCATCGTGTTGGTGATACAATCATTTTTAAGATTTCAAAGAGAAACTCAAACTTGTTGCACCATGATGGTTTTGAATAACTAAAATTATAGTTAATTATATTAATAATTAACTTATCCCCTGCATGTTATGTGTAGAGTAAATGTCTGGAATCAGTTGAGTCAAATAACTTTACACTTCAAGACTTTGCTTAAAAAGAATATTATTCAAACATGTCAATTGTGAAGCTGAGAGCAGAAAATGATCTTTATTATGGAGTAAATGTCTTATTTTGTGTGTAGCAGCTGTGTAAGTTTAACATGTTACTCGAGGCGTCTATAAGCTTCATCTTCTGCTGGTTCCTTATTTTGACCTTATCTTCTCCAAGTGACTGATATGGACAGAAGTGTCTAGAAAAGCCCGAGTTTAATAAATTAACTGAACTGAAACTGTTGGAAGTATGTATGGAACATTCACTTATAGTAAATATACAGTATGTGAAACTCAAACAAAATGATATTATGGTGACAAACATGGTTTCAAACATTATAAACTTTTATTTGACTCGAGTCACACTGGGTATTTTTTTTGTAACATTTCTCCAGTTTTTGTGTGATGTGAAAATCTTGTATGTTTTTTCTTGTCACATGATTTCCTGTCATTTGACATGTCTTGTTTTTAAAAAAGGACACACTTCATTGAAATGATTATGCCCTGGTTGAAACGCGTAGGCAGTCACTTTTTAATAAAGGGCTTTTACAATTTTTCACTTCAACAGAGTGCCTCAGACTGTTTTATTTGACCTCTCGATCACCTCACTACCATCAAGTCAAAAACACTCTGTATCTGCTGAGATTGTCCTGTCTTTGTAGAGCACCTGTACCACTCGACCCTCTGCAGCACTCACCTTCCTTGTTTTGAACTAAAAAGGATATTAATGTTCATAAGTAATTTAACGTACAATGTGAAACTAATACATTATATATATTATAGACTAAAGGGGGGTCCAAACTTTTTAGTGATAGGGTAGTTCACTAGACTTGTCCAGGGTCCCACAACATGGATTGTTTTGAAATGTGTCATAATATCCATATCGATTCTCAACACACAAAAAATAAAGAGTTCATTTACAAATACAGACATACTCGTTTTCAAAATGTATCTAAAAGTTATGTAAATGTGAAAGAATTTTCTCAAGAAGGGGTGACACAATATTTGTATGGCACTAAAATAGATCTTGGTAATGGGAAAATATTTCTAAGCCTTTATAATATTTTACTGATGGCTTTATCTGTTTTTGCATATGAACTATTCAAATTAAACGTCAGTACATTAATATATACAGTCTGTGGTCAGTACATACAACATGTTCTAAGCTTTACAACAAGGTACAGCCTTGCAATAGTGGTGGTGCTGAAGTTGGCTGGATGACACTGTGAAAGTACCTCAATGGTGAGTTAATTAGTTACCTGATACAGACGCAATCCACGCAAACCGAGATGTGTTGCATTCACAAATACATTGGTAAAAAATATGCATGTATTTTGTATGTGCTATGTCTCACCGACAGAGGGCGCTCTAGACACATGGTGAAGACGAACAGGTTAGAGATAAGAGAAGCTAGAGATGTGTAATGTACCATGCTGTGAGTCTGACACTTTTTGGATTAAAAGTCACAACAGATTGAACCTATCTGAACATACCAAACTCAACTTCTTCTTTGTGCATTTTATTGGCGAGAGGCACTCAACGTTAAGCTGCATTTGTGCCACATACTGTATTTGAGTGTGAACCACAGCTACATTATCCATAATTATCTAAGAAAGAAAAACAAAACAAAAGGAAAAATAACTTTAAAACAAAAAAACCTAAACTCTCTCCACATTCATTGTTGTTGAGAAATCTTAACTCCAACTGATGACATCACAGGTGACTAAATAATGGGAGTGTCCAAGATATTAAAGCTGATCTACATGATTTGTACAGTTGTCATATACATTTTAGAATTACTCAATAATTTTTAACTTAATAAGTTAGACAAAAATGCTTTAAAGACTGAATATAAATGTGTTCTTCTCTTGGGATGTCCTGCTGGGTATGACAGCCCAGTACATCACATATGATTTGGATATTCAATACAGTTCCTGTGGTGACACCTGCATGGGGGCTATGCTGGCATGCTGCATACTGCATGCTGCAGACCTCTGAAGCTGTGCAGGATGGGGCCTGGTTAGTACTGTGATGGGAGAAACCTCTGGGAACACCATGTACCACAGTGGGGCGGCTGCAGCAAGGCAAGACACTTCACCCACATTGCCTACAATGCCTCTGTTGTATGTGTGAATGATTTTTAGGTGGTCAAACGGGCAAATACTGATTGCCTTGCTTCTGTCAGTGTGCCTCAGGGCAGTGGTGGCTGTATCAGTACATGTATTATTTTCATTAATACTGCTGAAAAAAAACGTAAGCAACATTCAATTCAATTCAACAATCAATTTTGCATGTATTTAAAGCTCCATGGCAGGTAATAACTCTCGTTTCATAAGATCCAAATAGCAAAACTTTAAGTAATATTAGTGCTTTTCAAACAATTAAAGCTGGGCGACCTAACTTTTTTCAGATTAGATTAGCCTTCATTTTGTTAGTCCCAACTGTTTTTGCATGTTAACTCTTTTGGTTCTCACAAAGATGTTGTCAGTTGTCTTATCTGAGTCAGGTTTGTCCACTCACAGTTAGGAAACATATTTAAATCAAGATAAAGTGGGGATTTAAACAGAACTAAAATTGAAATAAAAATGTAAAGGATTCACGAGCCAACATTGAGAACATTTATTTTCCCAACTTTTCTTTTCTCATAACAAAGTCATCTTTATTGTTCCATTAGGGAAAATTGGTTTTGTAGCAAGAAAAGACTTAAAAACAGACAACATTTTTCCCCCGAACATTATACAATTATAATGTATGTAATATGTTTGTATTTCAATTAATTAGGCTTACGTAATTGTAACCCACCTGTTGACTGCGCTTGGTGGCTCTCTATTGCCCTCTAGTGGTTATTATCTGACATGTCTTTGAATAACAGATCATTCCATTCTCTGGTTGAAGAGCATTCAAGTTCTATCACTTCTTAAAAAGAGCTTCCACTTGCAAAACAATCCAAAATATGTACCAATATTTACAAGAATTTATAAACTGTATCATAGCATCCCCTATACTTCCATCTTAACCTTGCGGCCTGAGAGCCTATGATGTATATGTATGTGTCCACTAGAGGAAGAAGCTATTTTAGTCCCTTCATATAATGTAATAATAATGCCAAATACTTTGAGTGATTTCTAGTCCAAGACATCAAAGAATGTAGGACACTTTTGTTTGAGTGGGTGTGAAACGGTTGTGAAAGCTGGAACGTTAAAATCACAGCGAAATGTAAACAACTCAAGTGCTGCGTAATTCACAGACAACACAAACAATAGAAGAGAAACACTTTTAAAGGGAAAATTGCGATTGGCAAAATGTTTGCATGTTCAGTGAAAGAAGATTAGATTCCAGTATAACATACATTTAATGTGCAGAGCATAAAAAAATCATGCTTAAAATCCTTGAGAATTATTTCTCATAATCACAGACCCCTGGTGGCTGGAGAGTGGTTCTGCATAAACACAGTTATTAGTAATCTGGAATAATCAGAGCCAATATGGATGACAATAAGATGTACATAATAAATCAGATAAATGTAAATACACTCAACTTGGTTTGTGAAGAATAGTCTTTATGTGCATAAGAATGGACATAGGTACAAACTCCAACAGTGCAGGCGATCCGTCCGGTTGGTCCGACCTCACATCATTTACAGAGCTTGCTTTTATACTTTCTCCCAGCACCAGGAAGGGGTTAAAACGTCATCTTTAACTAATTCCCTTTTTTGGAGGACACAGCTCAACTTGACATCAGCCAAACTGTCGTACATGTCCAGGGCTGGCGGATGTATGTGTCTGTTTTACTCCACTTGTCTTTGTGGTTTTGTATCAGCCAAAGT